AACACATGTCCACAGAAAAAATAACCTGCTTGTATTCATGGCAATATTTTCCATAGAGCCAAAAATTGGAGACAAGCAAAATGTCATCAACAGATGAGCAGATGAACCAATGTGGTATATCCTTACAATGGAATATTATTTGACAACACAAAGGAATGAGGAACTGATACATGTCACAACCGAGATGAACCTTAAAAAGATGAATCATATTATATGATTTAATTTATATGAAATGTCCAGAATAGGCAAATCCATAGAGACAGAAAGCATATTAGGGGTCGCCAGGGGCTGCAAAGAAGCAGGGATGGAGAATGCTCATGGGTATAGAGTTTCCATTTGGGGTGATGCAAATATTTAAGAATTAGACAATGTTGCACAGTTCTGTGAGCATACTAAAACTACTGATTTGTACATCACAGAAGTACAAATTTTCTAGCATATGAATTACATCTCAATAATCTATCATTTTAAAAATGAATTTTAAAAATAATCCAGTCAGAAAGTGGGAAAAGGACATGAAAAGACATTTCACCAAAGAGGATATGTGGGTGACTAATAAGCAGGTGAAAAGATGTTCAACATTAGTAGCTATTAAGAAAATGAACATTAAAGTCACAATGAGATACCAGGTCACACCTATTAGAATGGCTAAAATAAAAAAACAGTGGAGAAAAAAAACAAAACCTGGAGAAAAGGGGAGAAATATAAACTGGCAAAGTCTCTCTGGAAAATCATTTGCTCACCAGCAAAGCCCATTCACAATTCCCAAGAAATAAAAATAGGATCTGGTAACAAAATAAAATCTAACCTTTTTTCCTTTTCCTTTGTGCTTCATTGAGCTTTACTTTCTCACAAACTACCACTGACAGAGCTCTCCACCTGGCACTTCAAAGCAGAGTTCCTACTGAGAAACGACGGGCGCAGCCAGCAGCTCGGGGCCGTGTGCAGAAGCACTGCACACGGCACTGCAATTCAAGATGGCGGCAGCGGGCCGTGTGCAGAGAGGCTGTGCCCGACCCCGCGCTCTGGAGCATGAGCAGTAACGCTGTGCTGGCCCCTCCCCCACCGATGCGCGGTTCCCTGTAAAGCAGCGCGTCCTGCTGGCCTGGGGGCCACGCAGAGAGCATGGACGCTAGAGCTAGAGCTGGCACCTCTGCATTCTGTGCTGTTGTTATTGCTGCTGTTGTTTATTTTTTGGCCACCACGGCATGCAGGATTTTAGTTCACTGACCGGGGATGGGACCTGCACCCCCTGAAGTGGAAGTGCAGGCATTCTTTGATCAAAGAATAAAACTTTCCCAGACTTCCCTGGTGGCTTGGTGGCTAAAAACCCATGGTTCCACTGCAGGAGGCAGCAGCACTCCTCTGATCCCTGGTCAGGGAACTAAGATCCCACATGCCATGCCTGAGGTGTGGCGGCAGGGGGGCCTTTCCTTTGCTTCTGAACTTGTCAGTCTCATTCTGTTGGAGGCAGGGGTACTCTTGTTTGGAGACCAGCTTGGGAAAGTCGGTAACAATTGGACACTTGCTTTTAGAACTAAAAATGGATTTACCATACAATCCAGAAATTGTACTCTTGGGCATTTACCCCACAGAAGTAAAAAAGCTTATCTTCACCCAGAAACTAGTTTATGGATGTTGACAGTAGTTTCATTTGTAATGGCCAAGAACTAGAAATCATTCAAATGTTTTTCGGTTGGTGACTGGTTAACCAAACTGTGGCACATTCACACTGTGGATTATGAGTCAGCAATGAAAAGGAATAAACTATTGATACATGCTAAAACTTAGATGAATCTCAAGGAAATTATGCTGAGTGAAAAAAAACTAAAAAAGATACATGCATACTCTGTGTTTCCATTTGTGAAAACTCATGAAATGACATAATTCTAGAAATGGGGAACAGATTAGTTGTTTCCAGGAGTTAGAGATGGTGGGGAGAGGGGGTGTTGTGTCTCTAAAGAAGAAGCACAAAGGAACTTGGTGGTGATGGTAGTTAAGTGCCTTAGTTGTGGTGGCAGTTACATGAAGTCTCATGTGATAAAATTGCATGCCACTGTACACATAAATACACATATGAGTACATACAAAACTGGTGAATGTCAAATGAGCTTAGTGGATAGCACCAATGTTAATTTCCAGGTTTTGATATCATTAGTGATACTAGATGTTAACATTGGGAGAGTCTGAGTAAAGGATTCATGGAAACTCTGCTCTTTTCTTTGCAACTTCCTGTAAATTTGTAATTATTTCAAAATAAAGTTGTTTTAAAACCTAAATTTATCCTTATCCAAAATATACTCTTCCTGAATTCTCTAATTCCACATCAATAAGTGTGACACCATCGGCCCAGACTCAACCTTCACTCTCCATATCCAATAATAACAGGCCACATTTATTGAAAGCTTCTTCTCTACCAGGCACCACAGTTGGCCTTCCATATCCAAGGGTTTCACATCCACAGATTCAAGCAACCATAATAGAAAATACTCGGAGGAAAAAAAATCTGAAAAGTTCCAAAAAGCAAAACTTGAATTTGTCACTCTCTAGTAACTATTTACCTAGCATTTACGTTGTGTTGGGTATTACAAGTAATCTAGAAATGATTTAAAGTATACAGGAGGATGTGTTTAGATTATACGCAAATACTACACCATTTTATATAGGGACTTGAGCATCCTCAGATTTGGTACCCTTGGGTGTCCTGGAAATGATCCCCCCTCAGACACAGAGGGACAGCTATATACTTAGAACATTCCATGCCTGGCCTAAGGTACTCCTCACATCAACACTCTTATAATCCCCATTTTAAAGGTAAAGGAACTGAGCATGAGAGGGGTAAATGATCTTGACGAAGGTCACACAGCAAGTTACCATGGCAGGCTTCTCATGCAGGCAGCCCAACTCCAGACCCCACACCCTCTGGAATCATCAGATTCAAAATCCACCCATTTATCTTAGGCCATCGCCTTAGCTGAAGAGTTCATCATTCTCTACCTGGACCAGAAAGTAGTGCAGGAGCCTGCTGATTAGACTCCTACCTCAGATCCAAGAGGGAGAAAGCAACCATACCATATATTCTTAAATGATAAACCATCCCAAACAGAAGACAATCTCCCAATCTCTCCATGCAAAGATTTTTTTAAGTATTTTGGGCAACTCAAATATATAAACATTTAGTGCTATGGGTGAAATAATCAAGCATTTATTTAATGTCTTATGGAAAAACTCAAATGAAATTTTTGCCCAACTCAATACAAGGATTCAATATAGGATGTGTGTATACAATGGCATATAATATACAATCTATTAACTTGGAAACACTGCTATCCTCATTCTCCCGTTTTCTGAAACGATTTCATTCAAATGCTTCTCACATATCTCTAACATTAGTATCTTTTAAATTTTCATCTAACAGAGGTTTCTAGAGTATACTGTCTTCATTTCTAAGCTATTTTAAAAATAATCCTTTAGACTCCATCAATAATACTGTCCTTGAAAAGCTAAAAGATACATTTATACAAGCATCAACAAAAATTAGGTGTTTTTTTTTTTAAAGTTAGGTTTTTAAAATTTGTTCTGTAAGTAGTAGTTTCAATGTTGGCTGCAACTTAAAAGTCATACTATATTATAAATCTCAAGGTTGGTAAGAGGCTACATCTTAATTGTTCTCAACACAAAAAGGAAATAATTATGTGAAGTGATAAATGTGTTAGCTAACACTATCCTAGTAATCATATTGTGGTATAAAAATGTATCAAACCAACACTGTTGTACATCTCAAACTTATACGTTATATGTCAATTATATCTCAATTTTTTAAAGGGTGGTAGGGAGAAATCATCTGGGGAGCTTTCAAAATTCCCATTGCCCAGAAATAGTGATTTTATTGGCCTGTAAAGTGGGCACTGGGCGTGGCATTGTTCTTTTGGCCACTCTGCACAGGGTGTGAGATCTTAGTTCCCGGCTAGAGACTGAACCCACACCCCCTGCAATGAAAGCTCAGAGTCTTAACTACCCGATCACCAGGGAAATCCCAAGCTTGACATTTTTAAAACTTCTGCAGCCTTTGCAAGAATCACCACTTACGTGTACAATGAACAATCTCCATAATGTAATTTAGTAGTTCTCAGTCTTGATTGCATATAAGAATCACCTGGAAAGCTTTGTAAAAATACTTATGCCAGGGTCCACCCTCTGCTCCCCCTCCCCAACCAGGATTCTAATTTATCTGGAATTAAGCCCCAGGGTGTTTCTACATTTTAAAAATATCTCAGATAAATCTCACTTAAAGCCAGAGTTGAGAACCTTCAATATTACCAGTTACGAGTATTTCTTTACACATAAGGTTTAAAAGTCTGTTTCACATCCATGGCTAATTCATTTCAATGTATGACAAAAACTACTGTAATGATGTAAAGTAATTAGCCTCCAACTAATAAAAATAAATGAAAAAAAAATTTTTAAAAATTTTAAAAAAAAGTCTGTTTCACCCACCATCACATAGTATGGGTTAGGGCACCTTCCCCTCCCACAACAACTTCTAGCCACCCCTTCACCAGGAAATCAAAAACTGGGCAGAATCTTTGCTGGTTTCTATTCCTTTTGTTTCAGGTGGCTTCTAGAAGCATTGAAAGATGGCACTAATCGAGAACATTTTAACCTAATTTGGCTTCTCCAAAGAGAACTTGGTTGTCCCAAAGAAAGGAATTGAGAGTGCTCCCAAAGGTGAGAGATTTTCTCAGGACTCAAATATAAAATATGTCTTCTCCTGGAGGATAGATTGGGAAGAGAATGCCACTTTATTTTTGCACCTATCATTAACAACAACCATTTCTTGAATGTTTACTTTACCTCGGCACCGTGTTAAATGTTTTCCTGATCCCATTTAATCCTAAAGCTATAATTTAAAATTAAATAATAATAATATTGCCGTTTTAAAACCAAGATGCAAAGTGCGTTTGCCTAAGGTTACCACCCAGCTGGGTATGAGACAGAACCTGGAGCCAGGTCTTCCGCATCCAGCGCTCCACTGCCCCCTCCTGCCCAGCCATCCTCAAGAAGCTTTCACAAGAGCACCAAGACTTCCATTGCCAGGGCCCCAAGGACAGCACGGCGTTGCGGACCACTAGAGGGAGGATCCGCAGACTCGCCTCCCCCTCTCTGCCCTGACCATCAGCCCAGAACCCTCTGTCCCAAACACTCCCGGTTCCCAGGCTCTGTGACATCATAGACAGCCCCATCTCTGCTCTGCCAGCTGCAGGTGAGTGAGGCTCAAAAAGTTAGATCTGAGAGCAGGGGGGGTATCTTTTCTCTATTTAAAGGGACACCATCTCCATCATGCCTTTTCACTTTGCTCCAGGAAGCAGGGGCCATCTGTCTTACCATGATCCCACCGCCTCTCTCTCTGGGTCCCAGTCTCCCCACCTGTGTTGAATGACCCCCCAGCCCCGGGCTCCTCCAGCACCGGAAGTCTTCCTTATCACACAGAAGTGTGACCTTATCAATCTCTCCTATTCTGGTCAAAGTGCTCCAGGGTCACTGGAGACCTGAAGTTCACGGTCACGGCAGGGGAGGGGGTGGGGGGTGGGGAAACCCTGTGGGCCCTTTTCTTTAGCTCCTGCTTCCATCTAGAGGAGGGCAGTGGCAGTGCAGGAAACACCACAGCCAGCCTACCTTAGCCAAATCAAGCCCACACTTTCATCAGCATCAGCTTTTACACTTACTGAGCCTTTCCAATGTGCCAGACAGCTGTGCTAAGCACCTCCATCACTAATCCTCAAGACCACATTCAAGGGTAGATACTATTAACATTCCCACTTGACAGACATGAAAACAGGAGAGTTAAATTATCCTGCGTTCCATAGCTAATAAGTAGTGAGTCTTTAGGAATTACACCCCCAAATATGTGCCTGTGATTACTACACTGCACCCCCTAAGACCCTCTCCATTTCTGAAGAGGGTTCATAAGTTCAAAACTCTTGGTAACAAACAGAGGAGAAAGTGGTCCTACTTGCCTCCTCAGTGAACTGCTGGGGAGTAAAAACATGAAAATCATCAGTGCTAGATTCAGATAAACTTATACGTGAAAATTTCTGCTCAGCTGCGACTACAGAAAGATCCTCAAGACACTGGGTATGTGTAAGCTGCTTCAGCAGAAGAGATTTCCATTCTGTTCCATTCACTGTGTGGGACAAAATCTGAATTTGGTTACACAAGGGAGACCTATGCTTTGATGACAAAGTCTCTGAGCAAAGCTAATGGCTGGTGTTTTAAGGGTTTATGAAGGCGCTGCGTTCGTGGTCAGGTGGTATTTCAGAGGCAGGAGTGCCTAGGGATGGCAGACCATCCGCCGTGAAGGTGTAACTACCATCTGCTACTTTCAGGAGAGCAGTCATTGAGGTAAAAGTTCACTAACAGATTGAAGGGTCTAAACAGGTCCTGGTGATTATCTGTTACAAAGGTTACAGAGCAATTGGTCTTCACTTATAAGTGTAGGAACTGCCCCTTTTGGCCCTCCCTAAACCAAAATTGCAGGAGATACTCTTGGCGATTGTACAGATCTTCACCACTGTTGTTGACTTTCCTTGAAGACACAGTTCAAGTTTCCCACTTACAGGGATCTGGTGTTCAATTTGAGCATCAACCAGCCTGATGTCTTCTTGTTTCTGTCCTTAAATTATCTGTAGAACCATATGTTGGGCCAGTTGGGGCATAGAAGTATTCAACTCTCTGGACAAGAGCCAATGGATGACTATAATACAGTCCAAACCTGTGAGCTATGGATTTTCAATTGGTTGTTTGTGCCCTAGGGTATGAGCTGTTTTGTACTATGTCAGTAAACGTGAAGGAAAATGAGCGCTTTGTGCTGTCCACCTCCTTTGGAGGGCTCACTGTCCTCAAAAGTCTAGGGTATTGATAGCCCCATAAAGACTTTTTTTCCTTTCCAACACTGTGTAAGTCCACGGAGGGTACCAGGGAACTGGACGCTTGGAAAGGTCCATATAGTCATCAAAAAAAAAACCCCAGTCACACTTAGCATTGAAGACTCTGACTTTCCTACAAGAAATAAACCATGTCAACAGTCAAGCAGTATCATTGTCTACCTTCATCAATTTTCTTTGCAAGTTTAGAGGAAGAACAGGCAGGTGTTGAGTGCTAAGGCTCCTTAGAATGGCATAAATAGACAAGTCTGGACATTTGACCTTTGGCCATAATGGAACATGAGTTCTTCTAACGGTCTTTCTGCTCAAAGTATATGCAAGTATCTTCATCCATAAGATCCATAGTCTCTAAGAACAGAGGGAATTTTGGTCCTGTTTTTATTTCAGAAACCAACTGTTTTATCTAGGAGGTCTTAAGTCATTTTGATTTCTAGTTAATATTTTAGGACTATTTGAAAATAACTTGGAGATCAAAGTTGACATTTCTCATTCCAATTTATTGTCTCTAAGTCCACATTTCAGGTCTAAGTCCTTTGCAAGAAGAAAAGTTCCCCTTAAGTTGTTGGTTTACCCCAGAATGTCCTGAAGTTTATTCAGTCTCCTATTGATTCATCTTGGTTTTGTTTGCAATTCTGAATCTTTGTCCAATCTACCTTTCCCTTAAGAGAAAGGTTTTCTTTTTTTAATAGCTTCTGAAATAATTTTATGTGGTATATTTTCTGTTTCTAAACTTCTCAAGCCCTTGATTCTTTTTCTTGTCTACCTTCATCAATTTTCTTTGCAAGTTTAGAGGAAGAACAGGCAGGTGTTGAGTGCTAAGGCTCCTTAGAATGGCATAAATAGACAAGTCTGGACATTTGACCTTTGGCCATAATGGAACATGAGTTCTTCTAACGGTCTTTCTGCTCAAAGTATATGCAAGTATCTTCATCCATAAGATCCATAGTCTCTAAGAACAGAGGGAATTTTGGTCCTGTTTTTATTTCAGAAACCAATTGTTTTATCTAGAAGGTCTTAAGTCATTTTGATTTCTAGTTAATATTTTAGGACTATTTGAAAATAACTTGGAGAACAAAGTTGACATTTCTCATTCCAATTTATTGTCTCTAAGTCCACATTTCAGGTCTAAGTCCTTTGCAAGAAGAGAAGTTCCCCTTAAGTTGTTGGTTTACCCCAGAATGTCCTGAAGTTTATTCAGTCTCCTATTGATTCATCTTGGTTTTGTTTGCAATTCTGAATCTTTGTCCAATCTACCTTTCCCTTAAGAGAAAGGTTTTCTTTTTTTAATAGCTTCTGAAATAATTTTATGTGGTATATTTTCTGTTTCTAAACTTCTCAAGCCCTTGATTCTTTTTCGAATTATGCATGTGTGCTAAGTTGCTTCAGTTGTGTCCAACTCTTTGTGACCTCATGAACTGTAGCCCACCAGGCTCCTCTGTCCTTGGGAGTCTCCAGGCAAGAATACTGGAGTGGGTAGCCGTTTCCTTCTCCAGGGGATTTTTCCCAACCCAGTGATTGAACCTGCATTTATGTCTCCTGCTTTGGCAAGCGAGTTTTCTACCACTAGTACCACTTGGGAAGCCCCAGGAATTATGCATAGATAGGTTGTTTAAATCTTCTGATCTTTTCTATCCTGCTGCTTTTTAACATTTTCCCCCAAGTTGAAGGTTAAAAATTAAGTGAACTAATTGATAGAAGTGTGATAATTCAGGGCAATAAGTAACTGAATAACAGAACCCTGAATTGGACTGCAACTTTCTGTTCTGAAATTTGGCATGATTTTAAATATTTCTCCTCAACTCAGCTCTCACCAGATTTTAAACTCAACCTCTATGGACCCACTGTCTTGTACAGGAGTTTTAGAGGAATATTGTGCAATGTTGATTATTCATTTCTATAGAAATGCCCTATAAAGAAAGTTTATGTAGGCAGTTAGGGAAAGGAACAAGAGAAGTTTAAGTGGGTAATAAAGATAAACCTGGGCTCCCCTTGTGTCTCAGACAGTAAAGAATCTGCCCAAACTGCAGAAGACCTGGGTTCGATCCTTGGGTCAGGAAGATCCCCTGGAGGAAGGCATGGCAACCCACTCGTCTTCTTGCCTGGAGAATTCCATGGATAGAGGAGCCTGGCAGGCAACAGTCCATGGGGTTGCAAGGGGTCGGACACGACTGAATGATTAACACGTGCACAAAGCTAATGCTTTGTGGAGGAAGAGTGAGAGATGAAATGAAGTGAGTTTCAGGTTTGAGAAGGAGTAAGATCTTTTTTTTTCTTCTTTCTGGGGTCAGAGTATATTAATCAAAGAAGCGTTCTATTGAGTGTTGAGTTTTGGTCTTCTCTCTCTTCTACTGTGCCTCTTGAATCTATATTTTTGACACTGAAAGTCTGCCATAATGGACATTGTCATTTTAAGTCATCTAGCAAAATTTTTGTGTTTAAGATAAACATATTGGAGCACATTGAATGACAGTACATATACAAAGCAAGGATTTTTCTGGAAAGAGGCAGCAATTTAATTTAGACGAGACCATGAGACACAGGAAAGAATACACTGCGTTCTGCTTAGTTGCTTGGTCATGTCTGACTCCCTGCAACCCCACATACTGTGGCCCGCCAGGCTCCTCTGTCCATGGGGATTTTCAAGGCAAGAATACTGGAGTCTGTTGCCATGCCCTCCTCCAGGGGATCTTCCCAACCCAGGGATCGAACCCAGGTCTCTCCAATTGCACACGAATTCTTAACCGTCTAAGCCACCAGGGAAGCCCAAGAATACTGCAGTAGGTATCCTATCCCTTCTCCAGGGGATCTTCCCAACCCAGAAATCAAATCAGGGTCTCCTGCATTGCAGGCAGATTCTTTACCAGCTGAGCTACCAGGGAAGCCCAAAGAATACACTACAGTCAGTCAAAAGTTTATACTTTGCATGGTGTCTTGAATTTCTTGGCCAAGGAGAACCTAGAAGAGTTCATATGATCTGTGCCCTGGAAATCACTAACTCCAGAATGTAGGCTGAGAAAAGTGACTATTCATTGCTTTAACAAGATAGACATGTGCTTATGAAGGTTTGGAGACACCCAAGGCAAAACTTTAGCAATTCCCTTCCTACAAATTGACCACCAGTCTAATAGACCTCCAACCATTAGATTCCAGGGCTGCCTGGTGGTGGAGGCTGGCTAGACTTAGAGCCTTCATTCCCTCCTATGAAGCACTGCCTTCTACACTCACATACATGAGGCAATCTAGAACAGAGAAAAGCCCCATGAAGCGAGAGTTTATATAAGTAGATGAAGAAAATTGAAACTACAGCAAGCAGCAGAAGAATCTGTGTATTAATGGCAAGCATATTTGCTAAATGATGCATCTCCAAAACAAAAGCTCTGATTGCCTCATATTAACTTCCATTTGTTTATAAATCCTAAGAAAATAAAACAAATTCATAAAAGAGCCAGTGAAATGTGTCACAGTTCAAATTATGATAGAAAACTCGCTTGGCGGCAGATCCAAAAGTCTATCAGAGATTGAGGCTAAATGGGCCCAGAAAGTACCCTTCTTGGTCCAAGGATCCCACATAGTGGAAACATCTGAATGTGTTTAGTCTGTTGAGGGTATCTAGCCACAGTATATAAAGGATGCTATCAGCATATTGAATAGTTTATGTGCAGGGAGTTAAAGATTTTTGTATTAATTATTAAGAATCAGTTGTGGCTCAGCTGGTAGAGAATCTACCTGCAATGCAGGAGACCTGGGTTCTATCCCTGGGTTGGGAAGATCCCCTAGAGAATGAGAAGGCTACCCACTCCAGTATTCTGGCCTGGAGAATTCCTTGGAATGTATAGTCCATGGGGTCACAAAGAGTTGGACACAACTGAGCAACTTTCACTTTCACTTTACTAATAGAAAGCTATTGCCATAATTCAGGGTGGCTTGTTTGGTATCACAAGGGAGAAAGTGAGACATAAATGCCTACGGGTGAGACAGCTCATCTACTGAATGGAGTATTGTGAGGGACATCTAATCAATACCATGAGAAGAATTTTCTACAAGGGGGTTTTACCACTGAGAGGAAAAGGAGAACAGGAAGCATTCAGAAACCTGGAAAATTTGGTACACAGTGAAAGAACTTTGGGATGAAAACAAGGCCTTTTTCTGGACTGTCCAAACTAGGAAGATGCTTGAAGTGATCATGCAAAACCTAACTTCCTCTTATTACTGGTGAGGAGCCTGAGACAAAGAGAGAAGCAGGGACTTACTCAAAGCCACACAGCAAGTTGGTAAGAGTGTCCTTCATCAGCACGTTCTCCTGCGACCTGGACCGGCAGGATCGTTTTGTAGCCCACGAGCTACATGAAGGGGACCCTTCATTGACTGGGCACTTTGAGTACCCAGCACCACAGAGGTCACTTTATATATGTTTAAACCTTTACATTTGCAAAGCAGGCACTGCTATTCCCATTTTCCACAGGATAAAAGTGAGGCTTGAGAAAGTTAAGGAACCTATGCCTAGAAACAGAACAGAATACAGGTCTCCAAACATGTTTATGTGCATTTCTGCATGGTCCAGCATTTTGCTATAGTGAGGTCCTATCTGGAGCGTGAGCACAGGTAAAGGACTGGTACTTTTCACCCACAGTCTTATGTTTATTTAGGAAAACAGCCCTGCCCAAGGAACTGGGCTCAAATTCAACATCAGCTGATTCAATAAGGCTCCCTGCAAGCAAAGCTCAAAGAATAGAGGCTTCAACTCCTTTCCATGGGTAAGAAAACTTTGTATAAAACAGGGAAAATGACTTTAAGAGAAACACTAGGTTGAAGGGCTTGGGCCTGCTGCCTATGGGGGAGCTACAAAAGATCTGGGAAAGGAGAAGGCTATTATACCTTGGGGGAGGCTGAGCCTATATGACCCCCATCACAGTGAATTTCCAACGGGGCATCTGGAATTCAGGCCCTGGACCCAAGGGCCCCTATCCTTTTTCTTCATATTAGCAGCCCACCAAAACCTGGCCTCGAAGATCTTCTCTTTATGCTGCAAATGCTGTGAGAAACCCAACGCTGCAGATGACTCCAAGATCCCCAATCAAACCCAAGAGCTTCAGCTGTCGAAGCACGGTAGGTACCAGGCAAGAATGGCCTGCCCAGCCTGGGGAGACTTCATATTGCTCATCCCCCTCCTGCTGAGATGCCCTCAGATTTCCTTCAGCTTTTGAGTGAATAATGCCAACCTAAAATGAGGTGAAGACTGAGCGGCTAAGTAACCAAACTGATAAACAATAGCGCTTAAAATCTTGATGCTTACAGTGGGGTGCTTGGACTAGCAACATCAGCATACCTGGGAGTTTGTTAGAACTGAACTTTCAGACCCTACTCCAGACCTACCAAGTCAGAACCATTATTTTAATATGACCCACAGGGAAACCTGAATGTGTATCATAGTTTGAGAATCACTTGTCTAAAGACTAGAAAGATAGTGCTGAAGAACCCTACCTCAGCCATAGGTAGATTCATGTTGATGTTTGGCAGAAACCAACAGAATATTGTAAAGCAATTATCCTTCCATTAAAAATAAGTTTAATTTTTTATAAAGTTTTTTATAATTTTTTATAAGTTTGTTTTTTATAAACAAATAAACAAAAAGAGCCCTGCCTTTGGGGCTGAGGCTAAATTCACTCAGCTCTGCTACAGAACTGGACAAGTCAATTACCCTCTCACTCCAAGCATGTGTCCTCACCTGGAAAACAGGGACACTTATACTGTATTATTGCTTTTCAGAACCACTGGGAGGGTTAAAAGAAATGAATAGAAGCAAAAAGCACAGGGCTTGCACAGAGTAGGAATTCAACAAAAGTCAAACTAATGGAAACTATAGTATAAGGTATTGGTCAGGAGAAGATAGGCTCTGCTGCTAAAACAAACACCCTTTTAAATCTCAATGGTTTACAAAACAAAAGTGTATTTCTTGCTTGTGCAAAGTCTGTTACATATTATTTCTCACCTTTAGCCAAGGCATCTGGAACACATGGTTTCCAAGACTACCAGATATAAGAAGGAAGAGAGAGAGAAGGCATCCTAGCCTTCAGTTTGTAATTATATCCTTCTTAATGATCCAGGGCAAAAGATCATAGTGGAGAAGACTGGGGGTCAAAATCAGCAGTTTCAGACCAAAAAAATATGCATTATTGTCAAGATCAGGCAAAGCTAGGACTAACATACAGTTGAGTGGTGAGTGGTGGCACGATCCCACTGGGAGACATGGCAGTTCAATGGCAGAAGAAAAATTCTCAGGGCATATTTTGCCAGAAATCCATACCTAGGAGCCTTTAAAACATTTCCCCTGGGAATACTGGATTGGCCAAAAAGTTCATTCAGGGCTTTCCATGGATTTTATTCCATTGGATTTTGGCCAACCAAATAATTTCATGATTAAAAAAAACAAGAATCTTAAAGGTGTCAGCTCCTTTTTCCAAGATGATAATAAGTACTGAGCCCCTATTAGATGCAAGGCACTGTCTAGGCACAGGGCCCCAGCTATGATCAGATAAGTCCCTTACTGTTTCAGAACTTAAACCACTAGAAAAGTGGTCTTATTTAACTCCCAGAATAACTCTAAGAAGTGGATCTGATTATCCAGAATGAATGTATTATTTTGCAGTTCTGAAAACGGAGGCAGAGAGAGGTGAAGCAGTTTGTTCAAGGTAGGCAGCTAGAAAAGAACAGAGCTGTTTATTATAGAACACTGCTTAGTCTGTTGACAAGACTGTGTTATACTTCTAAGATTCTAGGAGTATATCAAAACAAAGTCTTATATACAACGTTCATCACAGTGGTGTTTATGATAGAGAAATTTGAAAATAGTCTAAACACCCAAAAATAGAATATTGGTTAAATAAATCCTGAACTTTGCAACCATTTTTTTTTAAAGCTTAGTGACATAAGAAAACAGCGTATGATACATAGAAAGTAAAAGCATGCATAACATATAGGATGTTGATGGACTATGTAAAAACTCTTCTTGTTCAGTTATTAAGTCGTGTCTGACTCTGCCACCCCATGAACTGCAGTACACCAGGCTTCCCTGTCCTTCACCATCTCCCAGAGTTTGCTCAAACTCATGTCCATTGAGTTGGTGATGCCATCCAGCCATCTCATCCTCTATCGTCCCCTTCTCCTCCTGCCCTCAAGCTTTCCCACTGTCAGGGTCTTTTCCAATGAGTCAGCTCTTTGCCTCAGGTGGCCAAAGTATTGGAGCTTCAGCTTCAGCATCAGTCCTTCCAATGACTATTCAGGGCTGATTTCCTTTAGAATTGACTGGCTTGATCTCCTTGCAGTCCAAGAGACTCTCAAGAGTCTTCTCCAGCACCACAGTTTGAAAGCATCAATTCTTCAGTGCTCAGCCTCTGTAAAAACATCCATAGGCAAACCCTGGAACTATGATCATATCTGAGGGGAGTGGTGTTTGGGGCATTTTTTTCCTACTTCATATTCTTCAATATTTCCTAAGCTTTTGTATAATGTATATGACTTATACTTATAAATGGGAAAAAGTAAACTTTATGCTTTTAAAGAAATACACATTTTGAATCCAGTACCTGCTTATGAGGGGGGAGAACTCAGAAGACTAGAGGATGCTGACTCAGGTACACCTCATTCCATAACCATGGCCTCTGGTCCATGTGCACGCTCCAGAGCTGGCAAAACACTCTGGCCTCTGTGACCTCCTCTGAGCACCCCACATGACCACGTGGAATTACCATTGCCAGGTGTGCAGAAGGATGAGCTCAACAGACAAAGCCTTAAGCACAGTGACGCAGCACCCTGCATGAGTCTGGGGAAAGCCACGCTCCCCTCAGAAAAGACAACTTCCTGTTTCAGCAGCAGTGAGTATGGTGAGTTCGAACCTGGGGCCCCAACGCTGACCGGGAACCTCTGGGGTAGGGAGCCTTGTCCTCATGTCCAAACCCCAGTTTGGTACTGAGCTCGGTGGGATGACAGGAGTGGCGGGCTCCTCCCTTTAGGATGCTGCAGTTACATTACAGAACACAGCGGCCAGAGCACAGGGGTCAGACCTGCCTGTATGATCCTCCAAGCTGGGAATTACATGAGGAGCAGGAGCCCTGAGAGGAGAGAATCCATGTCCACACTCTCCTTCTAAGTCCCGGTGGCACTGTCTTATACGTGTACAGTGTGTGTTTGCCTAATGTCTGCTTCAGCCTCCAGATGGTAAGCTCCAGGAGGGCAGGGCCTTACATGAGTGTTATTCCTCCAAACTCAACCACACACATGGCAGATCAACACGCCAAAAAAGGCTTGTGCACTCAGAGTCTCCAGGGAGAAGAGGATGCCTCTGAGTCCTGGACTGTAGCCACATCTAGGAAGAAATGTGGCTCCATTGATGGGCACTGACGCTGTGCCCGGGTGACCTCACATAGCTCACAACCACCCCATCAGGCTGGCTGTTGAGAGGTAAAGGTCCTCCAGCCCAGTCACTTCAGAGGGATTCGCAACAGGGACTTCCCTGGCGGTCTGGTGGCTAAGATTCTGCACTTCCAGTGCAGGGGGCACAGGTTTGATCCCTGGTCAGGAAACTAAGATCCCACATGCCATGCACGTGCCACAGGGCACAGTCAAAACAACAACGAAAAGGCTACCAACCCCTTCTCAGAGTAATGTATTTATATGCATTTAATAAAATACATAGAACTATAAAGGAAATCAATTACATATTATATATATATATATATAAGATGAATAAGATTCCACATTTGAAACAAACAGAAATTCTCATAACAGCTAAACCCTCCTTGCAACCAAAATCTCAAAGTCCAATTTCTATGAAAAAAATCAAAGAGGTCTGCTGTACTTGAATCGGTCATGAGTGTCTGGGTGCCCCACTAGCTCCCCTCCCCCCACCGGGCTCCATGGTGCATAGTTTAAAAACCCATCTCTGACTGTATAGAGGAGGCTTCAGTCTCTAGGGGGAAGGGGCTTTCCCAAAGTTCAGCAGCTGCTGCTGCTGCTAAGTCACTTCAGTCGTGTCCGGCTCTGTGCGACCCCATAGACCGCAGCCCCCCAGGATCCGCCGTCCCTGGGATTCTCCAGGCAAGAACACTGGAGTAGGTAAGCTCAGCAGGGCGTGGTGGTAATGTCAGAACCAGGATGGGCCCAGCTGTATTTTCTAGGCCACTGCATTTCACAAGACAAACTGCTGTCACTGAATTCTCCGATAAGAGTACCAACACGTCCCAGACCGGGGCGGGGGGCACATGACTCACAGACTATTCCAGATCTGATACTGACCAGGGATGGAGGTGACCGGAACAGTCTATCCAGGCCCAAAGCAGAGGCTTCGCTCAGGGTTCTTCTTCCCTTCCTTCCTTCAGATGTAAATTCACAAGTTTCCAAAAGAGGGTTTCACAAGAGAAGGCTCAGCCGCTACTTCCAGGATCACTGGCCGTACCAACCATGCCTCATCGGGAGGCCCTGATCGTTCTAGAGGGCAGCCCCCTCGCAGGCCTTGGAGCCTGCGCAGCTGCGGAGAGTTTCCAGGAGGAAGAGGGCGGTGCAGCGCGACCATGAAGACTGATTCGGAAACTCCCTTCCAGGAGGAGAAGACGTCTGAGCTAACGCTGTGCTGCCAGCAAGAGTCACTTCAGACCCCAAAAAGTCACTCGGAGGAGCTGCCTCCAAGTAAAGTCCTTGGTGACGTCACAGGACCATGTGCCTCTTCTTTTCCCTCCGCCCTACCGGTACATTCAGTTTATAGAGGAGTTCATCCATGTTTCTTCCGTGTTGTGTGCCTTTATTTCTTACATCTAGATCTTGTTCCGTTTCACATTTATCATTATATATATTAGGTATGGATCCGTATCTTTTTGGACATTTATTTGGAAGACCACCTTTGGCCCAGTCATTTGCGATGACCCCTTTATCCTCATGCACCAAAATTTCATAAGTATTTTGGTTTCTTTCTGAAATTTGTTTTATTCCACTGTAAGTCGGTCTGGTACCACCTTGTCTTATTCCTCCATTTTTTTTATTTTTTATTTGAAAGATAATTGCTTTACAGAATTTTGTTTTCTGTCAAACCTCAACATCAATCAGCCATAAGTATACATATATCCCCTCCCTTTTGAACCTCCCTCCCATCTCCATTTTTTAAAAATATAAACATTAGTATCTATTTGTATAGATCCATTAAAAAATATATTGATATTTTGGGGGAAATGTCTGGCAGTCCGGTGGTTAGGACTGTGCTTCCCAAGCAGGGGACACAAGTTTGATCCCTGGTTGGGGAATTAAGACCCCCACATGCTGTGCAGTGCAGCCAAAAAAAAGAAAGAAAGAAATTGATGTTTTATTGTGACTGTACTAAATTTTAAAATTAACCTAGGAAAAAAATACAAATTAACATAGGAAGAACTGACACCTCTATAATGTTGACTCCTCCCACCCACATACAAATAGCTTTTCATTTGTTCAAACCTACTTTTTTGTCTCTCAGGGCTATTTTTCAATGTTCTTCATATAAATTTTGCAAATTTCTTGTTAAATTGGTTACTGCCATGATAGCACAGAGGCCAAGACAGAAGGAGGGGAAGTAGCAGCAGCATTGCCACCCCAGGAGAGAAGGAACTAAAATGGTACAGCCCATTTGTAAAGCAATTTGAACCTTTAAAAATCCCACCTCTGATCACTTCATTTGCCAATTACTAGCGGTGTCACTTTAGCCAAGATACCTAATAAATTTTGTGCCTCGGTTGCTTCACCTGTAAAATGGGTACAGGAATGGCATCTTCGCCTTTCTTAGCCAAGTCTTCTTGGCTGAACTGTCCTTTCCTCCCCCTTGACTTTGAACTTCATCATATGACCTGCTTTAACCAATGGAAACCTAGTAGATGGGATACCAATAGAAGCTTAGAAATGTGTTTTCACAGTGGGGCTTGCTGTCTCATGCCTCTAGAATCCCCCTGAGAAGAACATGGCCCAGCTACCTATTCCAAGGAAGGAGCTACATGAGGCAGAACCTCCCCAGCCAGCCTGATGAACATGACATCATGAACCGAGGGAAGGACAATGGGAGAGAGGGTCAGTAAACCTCCTCCCCCTTCTCTAACTTTCTGGTCCAGTCAAACCCTTCTGTCTCCAGCATCCCCTGGTTCTCGGGCTCTGTGACATCACAGACAGTCCCATCTCTGCTCTGCCAGCTGCAGGTGCGAGGGGCTCCGAGGCTGGACCTGAGAGCAGGAAGAGTTCTTTCCTGTATTTAAAGGGACAACATCTCCATCACTCCTGGGCACCTATGCACTTTGCTCCGGAAGCAGACGCCATTACTCTTCCCATGACCCCACTGTTTCTCTCTCTGGGTCCCAGCCTCCCCGCCCGTGTTGAATGGCCGCTAAGGGCTCCTCCAGCTCTAGGGGTCTTCCTCTCTGCCCTCACTGATCTTTCTCCTTCCGGTTGAAGTGCTGTGGGGTCATGGGAGACCTGAAGTTCACAACCCACTGGGGGCAAACCGAGGGCCCTTTTCTTTAGCTCCTGCTTCCATCTAGAGGACGTCATTGGTAGTGCAAGGAACACCACACCCACCCTACCCCAGCCAGCACTTCTCCTGGGAAGACAAAGCCCATGCGGATAAACTCTAGGATGTGTTGGAATGCGCCAAGGGCTCTGCAGAAGAAAGAACTGGGAATGCCAGGGGAGGGGGAGGGCCATGTAAATAGGGTAAATAATTCAGGTGACTTGGCCAGAAGACCACACTAGAAAGATGACCTTTAAGCACAGGCTTGAAGGAGGAAGGGGTGAGCTTGCGGATCTCTAAGGAAGGGCGTTGTAGGCCAGAGGTGGAGCATGGAGCATGTGCAAAGGCAGTCGTGGTGGGGTGCTGAGTGCAGCTGGATGAAGGAAGGATGGGAGTAGACTGCAGGGGAGGACGGGGCGAAGGTAGCAGTGAGACTGAATTTTTGAGGAACATCCCAGAGAAGGACTTCAGCTTTTCTTCTGCCTGACACTAGAAGCCAAGGAGCAGAGGGGTGACACGATCGGACTTACACTCTCAGCTGTGTTGACACTAATGGAGACTGGGCTGGGAGGAGCCAGGAGGCCGTTGCAATAATCCAGGTGAGAGATGGTGCTGGCTGGGAGGGGTAGGGAGCCGGTGCCCACGGGTGAGGCCAGGAAATGAAGCCGGTGTGATGTTAGTAAAGACAGCCACCGAGACGGAAATTCCCAGAGTGGGGCTTTGGCCAGAGGGAAGAAGGAGCAAGAGCAGGAGATGATCAGGCATCTGGGAGAAAGAAAGGAGAAACTGGGGCTGAGACAAGGACTTGCAGCCTGTGTCATCAGAGCCGGAAGGATCCTTGGAGAGAAGGCATAGCCCAAGTGCCTCCTGTTACAGATGGGGGCCTGGGCTCAGAGCTACTGAGCAGGTGAGTGATGGAAGCAAGAGTTGAAGGAGCAAGGCTGAGCTGCGTTACCTATTCCAGTGGGACTGGAGAAAGAATGCGCCCTGAGCCAGCATCTATACGCACCTGCCACCCCAGTGGTCACTGTGCATAGTTAATCACTTACTCCTTTAAGGTGGGTACTGTTGGTCCTTTATTGGACCGGAACCTGGTGGTCCGGAGTCAACGATGAGAGGGTGAAAGAAGGAAAGAGGCTAATATTCCCTGGGTTATGCAGCTGGCTTTCGGGCTCCAGGGAATCAGCCAGAAATAGAGAGATAGAGAAAGAAAGAAAGAAAGACATGGGGCCCAAAGCTCTGATGGAGCAAAGGTGTTTTAATCAACATGGTGTGGGCATATATACTGTGTTACAAGACAGTTATTCTCAGCAAAGATAAAGATTAAAATTCCAGACTTACAAAACACAAGGCGATACCTATTAAAGAGAGAAGAGGGTACTTATCACCATGAGAAACTAACAAAGGAAATGCCTAGATTTCTCAGCCCCGGGAAAGGCGTGCCTCTCGTTTTAATTCCTGAATATTCAGGAATTAATAAGGACCAAAGGATTCCTGACAGATCCAAAACAGCACACAGGAAGCCTCCTGTTCAATGCTTCCTGACAGGTACCACTCCACACTGGTATTCTACAGGCAGGAAAGTGAGGCTCAAAGAGGTTACAGAATCCACCCAAGAGCACAGACCTAGAAAGCAGAAGACAGATCTGACCGCTAAGCACGGGCTGGCCTGCGGGCGCTGCCACAAGTCCTGGCAGAGAAGGGACTGGCTTCCTCTGGCTGTGCTCTTCTATTCATTTAGGAAACAGCCTTGTCCAGAGAACTGGGCCAGACTCTGAGATCTGCTGATTTCAATAAGGCGACCCTGTGGTAAAGACTGGGCTTCCCAGGTGGCAGTAGTGGTAAAGAATTCCGCCTGCCAATACAAGGGATGCAGGAGCACGAGGGTTCCCTCCCTGGGTCGGGAAGATCCCCTGGAGGAGGGCATGGCAACCCACTCCAGTGTTCTTGCCTGGAGAATCCCCGTGAACAGAGGAGCCTGGTGGGCTACAGTCCACGGGGTCGCAAAGAGTCGGACCCGACTGAAGCCACTGAGCTCGCACACACGTGGTAAAGACTGGCAGAGCAGAAGCGGTACTTCCCACGGTTAGGAGAATTTTGGGCAGAAGAGGGCCTGGATCTGCTGGAGCCACAGGAGGTTTGGGAGAGAAGAGTGGCGTGATACCTTGGGGGAGGCTAGTCCAGTATGACCCACTGCTTAAATAACAATGGGCTTCTGGGATTGAGGTTACAGAGCCAGACACCACAGTGCCCTGTCCTTTTCCCACCGTCCACCAAAGCATGGTGTCAAGGATCTTCTGTTGCTGCTGCCCCGACGAGGGGGCTTCCACCATGGGTAGCTCCCACAGTCAAAATGCCTGCCAACAGCGTCACCCACGGACTTTCGGTAGGTTCCACGCATGGGTGCATGGTGCTTTGGTAAAAAACACCGAATCATTTCTCTGGACTTCTGACTCCCCACCCAGTTGCAAAATGAGGATCATGATAATACACCACCTGGTTTTCAGGGTGTTAGGAAGATGAAATGAAGCAACATATATAAATGTCTAGACTATGGCCCCACCCAGGGACTCAATGAACGGTAATTGTGTATACGTCAGAGTCAGGACCAGACAGGCTGTGCTGAAGTGACAGAGAAATTCTAAGATCTCAATTCCTTAACCCAGTTTGAGGTTATCTGTAGCTCAAGCAGAGTATTTTTTTAAAGTCACTAATAATATGCAAATATCCCAAGGAGGATATGACCAAGACATGACATTCACATGTAATTCAAAGCCTTTACCCAGGATAAATATTTTCCTTCACTCTTTCAGATCTGAATGCAGATCCTCAAAGAAATAATATGTCAGTGAGATACCAAGGTCGTCATCACCATCACTTCCACAGTTCTGTGCTGAGGAAGTGTGTTCCTGGGAGACCCTGATTTGTATAGATGGCAGCTCCCTGCACGTGTGTGAGGCTGCACGGCTACTAGAGTGTCTCCCGGAGGAAGAGGGTGGTGAACAGGGACCATGAAGACTGATTCAGAAACTCTCCCAGAGGAGGAGGAGACGTCTGAGCCATCCCTGTGCCACCAGCAAGAGTCGCCTCAGCTCCTGGAAAAACCACTAGGAGCTGCCTCCAATTAAAGTCCTCAGTTGCATCATAGGCCTGTGTTCTTCCTCTTTTTTCCCCTCTCCCAGCCCTACTTCTGAGATTCCCTTGAGCAGGGGACAATTAGAATCGGGCATCCCTGATTACAAAATGAGGTTTGATAAATGTCCATCGACAGAGGAATGGATAAAGAAGATGTGGTACATATATACACAAGGGAACATTACTCAGCCATTAATAATGCCATCTGCAGCACCATGGATGGGCCTAGAGATTGTCATATCGAGTAAAGTAAGTCAAACAGAGAAGGAGAAATGTGGTATGACATCCCTTAAATGTGGAATCTAAAGAGAAATTATACAAATGAACTTACTTACAAAACAGAGACTCACAGTCTCAGAGAACAAACTTACGGTTGCTGGGGTTAGAGGAAGGACGAGGGGAAGGGATAGTTAGGGAGTTTGGGGTGGACATGCACAAACTGCTGTATTTTAAATGGATAACCATCAAGGACCTACTGTATATTATTAAAAAAAAAAAAAAACTAAGTAAAAGAAAACAACACTGAAATGAGGCTTGATTCTAAAGCACTTTCAGTCACTCCTCTCCCACCTGAGGAAGGGCTTGGGAGAGGCTGGTCAGCCTAACGGGCAGCTCTAAATAGATGTGGTGACAACTGTCTGGAGCTGCAGGGCACACNATCAAGGACCTACTGTATATTATTAAAAAAAAAAAACCTAAGTAAAAGAAAACAACACTGAAATGAGGCTTGATTCTAAAGCACTTTCAGTCACTCCTCTCCCACCTGAGGAAGGGCTTGGGAGAGGCTGGTCAGCCTAACGGGCAGCTCTAAATAGATGTGGTGACAACTGTCTGGAGCTGCAGGGCACACTACTGCTCGCCTACGCGGGACTCGATTTGGTGGTCGGGGCCTTGGTGAACAGGGGGGCAGGAAGCGCAAAGCCCTGCAGTCAGCAGTCCTATAGTGACGCAATGCACAGCCCATGCAGATGTATAAAGCTGTTTGTGCTCAAACACAGGGCATGCCAACATGAGTCACAGGCAAGAGACCCCAAGTGGCTTCAACTTTAGTCGGGGAGCCAGGCACAGAAGCACATCGCTTCACATAGCAGACAATGATTCGTAAACAATAACAGGGAAATCTGCAACCAATTGGGGGTGTGGTGGAAGGCTTCCTGGTGCTTGGGTTTCCTGAAAGTCAAAGAAGAGGGGGGTATGGTATTCCAGAAGAGGGGAACAAAATAGGCAAATTTGGGAAATAGCGATACAAGCTGGTAAGAGTATAAGGCAGTGAACTTCGATGTTTGGAAAGATGAAAGTGAAGACCTGAGCCAGGGTATGGGGGGAGGTGAGGGGAACAGAGCATTAAGAATCTTAAATCCAGGAAAAGAAAGTTAGACTCTGTCTGGAAGGTAATGGGGAGTCAAGAAAGGTAATGTTTAGGCAATAGTTACCAGAGAAGGCAATGACAACCCACTGCAGTGTTCTTGCCTGGAGAATCCCAGGGATGGTGGAGCCTGGTGGGCTGCCGTCTATAGGGTCACACAGAGTCGGACACGACTGAAGCGATTTAGCAGCAGCAGCAGCAGCAGCAGCAGACAATAGTTACCCAGCCACATTTCTAGTTTTTGCAGTGTGAACATGGTGAGTTATTAAGAAGGCAACATTTACTCCTTGTGTCTGCCCCCAGCACAGAAGAATAAAGGAAGATGATGCCTTACACCAGGATATCATAGATTACAATTCATACCTACAACAGAAAGGTCGTCCTGGCTGCAATTTGAAGGATGTGCTATTTGAAAAGGAGTGTGAGCAATCCTGGTAACGTATAAATCTGGTATATTGCTTACTTTTCTAAGTACTTTATAAGTATCAACTCACTTAGCATCACAATCCAACAAGGATAGTAGTGTTACTACTCCATTTCCACAAGTCAGGAAACTGAGATAGTGTGTAAATCTCTGAAGATTACACTAATAGTAAGTAGCAGAGCTGAGATTTGAACCCAGGACTCCTGGTTCCAGATTCAATACTCTTAACCAACCGGTTATGCTGCCCTTCACAATGATGGTAGAATGACATTCAGTGATTGCTTTTGGCTCCCAACAGACTATCTGTTGCCTGCTCTTCAAACCTGGTGCTGGGCCCTTTGAAATCTTTTTCCCTTGGCAGCTAGTGCAATGTCATGCTTTGTCAGTACGGGGTGCTACAGATAGTGGCAGACACAGGACTCTCCTTCTGCTCTGGGGAACTCCTCTTAAGAAGGCTCCTGCAGCAGCTTCTTGGGTATCTGGCTCTGACAGTTCACATGACGTCTCCCGTACCCAGATCTGGAAGCATATGGTGGTGGTCAGTAGCACTTAGCAGCCAGCAGCTTCTCCCGTGCCTTCCCCCAGCAAACTGAGCAGTGTTTCCATCTCTCTGTGATAGCTAGAGATATCTAGCTAGCTATCTAGCACCCTAGAGGGCATATTTCTAGAACATTCTGTCAACATGGCATCTCAGAGATGTCTCTGCATCCAGGGGGCCACAGCCATGTCATTTCCAAGGTTCATACTTCAGCTGGGGATGGAGTAGGGGCGGGAGGGGGTCTCTATCTCAGCCCTCTCAGCCCTTTGGTGGTGCTATGCCTTACATCTGCTATTTCTATATTCTTTATAGGAGATTACTTCTTATTAACTAATCCATTATTTTGAGCCACCATTAAAGTTAGTAATTCTCTATATTAAATGCCTTATATTCAAATGACTGTGTGCTTTCTGTCTTCTGACTGGCCCCTGACTGATACATCCAAAAAGAGACTGCCTAAGCAATCAGAGATTCCCTGGTGCCTCAGACGGTAAAGTGTCTGCCCGCAATGTGGGAGACCCGGGTTCGATCCCTGGGTTGGGAAGATCCCCTGGAGAAGGAAATGGCAACCCACTCCTGTACTCTTGCCTAGAAAATTCCATGGACGGAGAAGCCTGATGGGCTACAGTCCATGGGGTCGCAAACAGTCGGACACGACTGAGCGACTTCACTTCACTTAAGCAATCAGGACAGTGACATAGGTGTGCACTAGGTCAGCAGCTCTAGGATGGAGAAGAGTCCCAAGTTACAATAGATAGATCTCAGGTAAAGCCACACTCTAACTCAGAACCATATAGGGAAGAAGATTCTGTACAGTGAGGTTCTTGACTTATTTTGCAAAGCACAGAACTGAGAAAAGGGCGGCAGTGAGGCCAAGTTGACCACGCACAGGCGATCATGTAATCTTGGGCTATGTCAGGCTAGAGGAGCCTGTGGGACATCTAGGTGGCCACATCCAGAAGAAGTTTAGAAATGTGTGGCGGGAAAAGGTAAAAGAACAATGGCTGGAAGGGAACCTCCAGAAAACCCTAGGTTCCTCATGTCTTGGAACTGTTTCCTGCAACAGATACAGCACGTGATCCACACACAAAAGATGCTCCATAAATGTCATCTCCTGCATTTAGAAGCCACTTCACAGAACCTGTCAAATGGCTCTTGGCCTCAGAATGATATCTTTCTTTAGAGGATTTTCAAATAATAATAATAATAATAAGGAAGCCACAGTTGGGCCTCACCTCTGAATATGGCAGATTAGCTGGTATCAGACTAACCCTCCTGCTGAGAGTAGCTTAAAATCCTGTAGTTTCTTTTTCCTTAAATCTGTCTGAATGTATCAGAGAGCTACCAAGGCAGTGAGGACTTGAGGAGCCAAGATCCTGGAGAGAAATGAAGTCCAGAGAGATGAAATGGACATCAAGGTCTTCTCATCTACTCCAGGCACTTGCCAATTCCTAAAAAGAGTTGAGAAGGCTGAAAAAGTGGGTGGAGCTTCCAGAAGACTCACAGCTTAGAGGCTGGGGGCTCACCCTGGAGGAAAAGGATTGGCTGTTAAAAACTTTTATAAAATAGGTATCTAGTTAAAGTTCCTGAAGAGCGAGAACCTGAAAATCAATGCTAACCAGAAACAGACTAAATCTCACTAGGACTAAAACCCAGAGTCAAGCTATTTCAACTTTACCTTTCCCAGAAGCAAAAATAAATCCTTTCTGAAGGGATATCCAGAGTCTTGTACATTTCTTCAATCCTTCATTTTTTTTTAAGAGTCTAGCATTCAATCAAAAATTACCAGGAATACTAGAAGATAAGATCAACTGACCAAAAACAAAAGGAACATATTTACAGAAGAACCAGATATTGGAATTAGCAGGTGTGGACTACTAAAGAAAAAAACTTTTAAATATTGGAAAAAAAACTGTTGAAGAAAACAGATGACAGGATGGACAATTATATCTGAGAACTATAAACTATTTTAAAAATCAATTGAAAACTATAAGACTGAATATTACAATAGCTGAAATTAAGAACTCAATTGAAAGGACTTCCCTGGTGGTTCAGTGGTTAAGACCCTTCATTTCCAATGCAGGGGGCTACAGCTTCGATCCCAGGTCTGGGCACTAAGATCCTCACATGCTGCATGATGTGGCCAAGAAAACAACAACAAAATCAGACAAAGAAAAAACAAATGAGAGCAAAAATAATGGAGTGAAGATAGTCAGTAAAAAAAATACTCATACTAAATCTTGAAGAACGAAAAGAACAGAAAACACAGTCTTAGAGGTACAGTGATAAGACTTTAACACACATATCCTTAGGAGTCCCAGACGGAGACAAGGGGAAACGAAAGTAGAAGCTATAATGAAAAATATTATGTCCCAGATTTCAAGATGTGCACTGAACCCCAAACAGGATAAATATAAAGAAATCTATATCTAGGCAGATCAAAATACAATTGCTGAAACCCAAAGCGGAGAGAAAACTTTAAAAACAGCACTGAACTGACAACCAGTGAAAGCCAATGGCATCTTCCAAAGGTTGGGGGCAGAGAGGAAGGGGGAAGCTGTGGTACTCTGGAATTCTTGACTTACCAAAAATTTCTTTCAAAAATAAAAACACAATGGAGACCTCTCAGCAAACCAAAACTCATTCTGTCACCAGAAGATCTGTACTGGAAGGAAAATATAAAGGTACTTTTAAATATAGTTAACACTATCCTACAGAAAAATTCCAAAGGTAGTTTCTGGAGAAGGTGAATGAACCTGGATTCATGTGTGGAAATGCAGGAAGGGACAAAGAGTAACAACAAAATAACAAGTGAAGAACAACAAAAAGTAAACGTGGATAAACCTAGTGAACACCGACTGTATAAAACATTAATAATGGTGTCCGTTGTGGTTTACAGTACAGCAAGAAGTGAAACTCATTGTAACAAGAGGACCACAGGCAGAAAAGGTGAGGGTTCTAAACTCTTTGGATTGTCCAGAAAGTGGTAGAAGGATTCTCTTGTCGCGGACTTGAGTGAGTCAAGGATGTATGTTGTACTTTAGAGTAACCGGTAAGGGAGAAGATTACATACCTCACAAGCTAATAGCAGAGAAATTACACAAATCACAAAACCTTAATGCAAATGAAGGCAAAAGAGTACAGAAAGAAGAACACAGAAAGGGAGAACCAATGAAAAGTAAATAGTAAGATGGAATATTTAAGCTCAAATCTATTTAACACATCAGGAAACACACTAGAGATAGCATAGTAAATATTCTAGTTTAAAAAGACTAAATTTTTTTAATACCATACGTTTATAAGAGGGGTATCTTAAATATAGGGATATAGGTAAGTTGAGAGTAAAATTACAAAGAGATACACTATATAATCACTAATCAAAAGAAAGCTAATGTATCAGATAAAGTAGATTTTCAAGGCGAAAATCTACTAGAGATAAGGAGGGACATTTCATAAAGATAAAAGGGTCAAATCAGGCAGTTTTAATGATTATAAATTTGTATGTGCGGAACAACAACAAAATTTGTCAGAAGTGAATTAAAATACATGTTCACACAAAAACCTGTACACAATTGCTCATGGCAGCATTAATCATAATAGCCAAAAAGTAGGTTCATTACCCCAAGTGATGGATAGACAAATTGTGGTATATAAATTACTCAGTCATTAAAAAGGAGTAAAGTACTGACACATGCTACAGTGTGGATGAATCTTGAAAATATTATGTTTCGTGAAAAAAACAGTCAGACCTAAAAAGCCACAAACTGTATGATCCCCTTTATATAAAATGTCCAGAACTAGAAAATCCATAGCGAGAAAAAGTAGATCGGTGATTGTCAAGTGCTGGGGAGAAGGCATAGGGGGTGACTGAATGTGTAGGGGGCTTTTTCTAGTGGGGAGAGAAGAGGTGATGAAAATGTTCCAGAATTAAACAGTGGTTATGTTTGTATAATCTTGTGAATATACAAAAAACAACTGAATTTTAGTCTTTAAAATGGTGAATTTTATGGCATATTAATGACATCTCAATACTTTGGACTCTGCAATTAAAACAAGAAAACTTGTCAAAAGTAAAAGGAGAAAACAGAAAATCTACAATCCTAGTTGCAAATTTTCCTCTCTTGATAGAACCAACCAGCCAAAATCAGTCAGGATACAGAATTGAATAACAGAAGTAAAATCTTACCAAATAGACACAGGCAGAAAACAGTATGTAGCAGCTAAAGAAAAGACAGCATTGGATGATGGAGCCCTTACTATGGACCACACTATGAACCAGACCTTGTGCTTTACATGCATCACCTCAATGCATCTCCCTGACATCACACACTCCCTTAACAGATGAGGAGGAACAGAGGGTGAGCGTCTGGTCCAAAATCTCCAACCAGCTTGTTCTTAAAACCCCGCTAGGCTTCTTCCGGTACTGAATTTCAGAGAGATCAGACTGGACTCTTTATTCACATAAGTACACCTCACGGTGCTGGGGTAGCTGAGTTCCGATGCAGAATGAATAAACAGGAACTGTTAATCAACTTCATCATCAACAAAAACATACCTGGGGCACCTACAGCACACAAGACATAGTGAGAGATAAAAAATAATGATGACAGCCACAATTTATTGAAATTTTACTCAAGTTTGCAACTCACAGTTGTAAGCACTTTACAGTATTTTTCCTATCATTTAACCTTCACACTCAGTTGCCAGGTAGGCACACTTATCCCCACTCCACCCTTGACGACTGAGACCCAAGGATGGGAGGCACCTCCCCTAAAGTGGCAGTCCTTGGATTTGTGGCTCTGGAATCCAAGCCCTCCACTCCTGCTTCACAACACAGCACCATCTTCAACAGCACCATACTTATCATTAACCCAGAGCCTTTATCATTAACCCAGCCCACACGTTCTTTTATGGAATCTCATCTTCACAGCGACCCTGTAAGGTCTAGGCAAGACAGAGATCACAGAACTTTCTAAAAGAAGAAACCGAGGCTTGAATGCAAAGAAATGTATCTTGTGGGCATACCTGAATGGTCCATGTGCCCAGTGAAACTCTACAGAGGGGGAAAGGCAGGAAAGAACTCATCAAGGGCCCTTTAAGGAGAAATTGCTGTTTTCTCAACACACACACATTTTTATTCTCTATTACTATACTTACCAGGGCTTTGTGGTTGGATGATAAACATGGGCTTCTACTGATCACATTCACAGCCCACACTTCCTCTGTGGCAGGTGGAAGAAGGCAGTGATCACTTTTATGAATAAATCTCATTAAGCAAAGCAGGCCACATCATCGGCCAAAGAGAAATGCTTAAAACAGCCATTTCTGAGAGGTGGTCTATGCTCATGCTTTCTCTTCTCTGGCCCAGAGAAAATGAACAGTCAGATTCATCTCTTACATGGTAAGTCAGCCACATAATTACATTTCATGTTCACTAGAGTCATTTATAGGGTGAACTGACATTCAGAGAGGTTAACCTAGCCAAGGTCACACTGCTAAGAAGAAGCAGATCTAGGATGAGAATCCAGGTCTCCTGCAACCCCATCCAAATGATTATCAAGTCTGGGGCACCTCATCTGTGTGGGGCTATAGAACTTTTCTACATGTAGATAAAGGCATAACAGACAGAAAGGCCAAGGGCAAGAATGGAACAGAATATGCAGGAACTTTCCAGACATTTGACTTTGAAAGGGCCAGTTAAAAAAAAGAAAAATCCAGGCTACCCCTTATACAGATGTGTAAACTGAGGACCAGCCAAAAATTACATAGCTTAAAGTGGCAGTTCAAGACCAGAACCCCAGTCTGTGCCAACTCTACCAATCATTCAACTGAGTACAGAGAGTGTTTTGCAAAAGCTACTATCGAGATGACAAGCATTCGATCCACAGGAGTTTTTTTTTCCTTAGCAGGTCTAGGTCATACACAGAAAGTATAAGTCTTTGTCCTTGAGGGGTTTAAGGTCTGTGCACAGGAAAACAGGATCAGTAACATGAAACGGCAGCAAAGGCAGCAGCTACATCAAGAACCCAAAGGAGGGGATTCCCGGGTGGCCCAGTGGCTGAACCTGGAACTTTCACTGCAGACGCCCGGGTTTCCTGGGCAGGGAACCATCCAGCATGCCATGTGACACAGCCAAAACGCAAAATAATAATAGTAATTTTTTAAAGAGAGAGAGAGAATTTAAGAGAGGCAGAGTCAGGAATTCCCTGGAGGCCCAGTGGTTAGAACCCAGTGCTTTCACTGCCAAGGGCCTTGTTTCAAGCCCTGGTTAGGGAACTAAGATATGCAAGTCCTGTGGTGTGGCCAAAAAAACCTAGGTGAGATGATTTGGATTAATAAAGAGGTAATTAAAAAAAAAAAAATAGAAGTGGCAGAGATGTTGGAAGGCTTCCTGAAGGAGGGGTAAGGATAGCTAGGCTTTAAAGCATGCAAGAAGGAGGGGCAATATGGAGGAGGGGACTAAGGTACAGACTCCCATGTATAAAATAAATAAGCTACAAAGATATACAACACAGGGAATACAGCCAATATTTTATAATAACTATAAATGGAGCATAAACTTTAAAAATGAGGAATCACTATATTGTACACCTGAAACTTACAGAGTATATCTTACATCAACTATACCTCAATTTTAAAACATCTTTTTTTTTTAAAAAGCATGCATAGAAATCCAACAGATGCAAAAGAATAGCTATGTCAGTTCAGGAAACAGTTTCAACCTATTAAGGATTTTTATGGGCGATGAAGCCAAAATTGCAGATGATGGCCAGGGGAGCCTCTAAATGCCAGGCGAGGGTCTTTAGATTTGGGCCCAGGGAACAATGGGTCTTCATATTTTTTCAGCAGCAGAGCACCTGGCAGCCTCTGAGCTCTTCATGGGATTCCACGAGGGACAGATCTTGCTTCACTGCAGGACAGCGTTAGTGTTAGGGAACAGGACTGCTGCTCTCCGTCTGCAGTATGAGACCACACCCGCGGGCATGTGTGCCTTGGAACAAAGTAAGTCCTCTGATCAGACAGGATCAGTCTCTTCCAAATCTTCTCATTAGTAGTTACATGCTGTTCCTTCCTTCCTTCTGTCTCCTGAAGGCCTGCATGCTAGCAGCAAGCCCAAGTGACACCACTTTTCAGAAAATGTAGGGCAAGAGCAACTTAAAAGTGGAGAACACTCTGAGAATTCACTTCTTTGCTTCAGATTGGAAGGGGGCATCTTGTAATTTAAGGGGCTCAAGGCAATGCCACTCAGAACAGAGCCCTCCCTGAGTCTCCATCTGACAAGAAGTGGGTGAGGACCGGAGCATCGCCTGAGACCAAGCTTTGGGCCCACTTTCAGCCCCATCTGGTCATCTTCACATTTTCGGGGATCATCAGACAATGAAAGAGATGGGCGAGGGGCCTCTTCCACTCATGCCAACGGTTCTAAGCAGCACAGAAAGTAGCTCAGAGTGGGACCATCGGCTTCTGCAAAGGCCAGAGGTCAGCGTGGGCTGTCGACAAGCCATTTTGGAGCAGGGTCCTGGAGGGAACACCGGATCCCCAGTGCTGACGTGACTGACAGCCTCAGGGCACCCCAGACGCTGCTCCCCTCACCGAGGCCTCGCCATCAGCCACCCTGGAGCTCCGAGGCCTCCCTGACCTCTCACCTTCAGTCCTGGGGGAAGAGGGGTACCTCCATTCCGAGGTCACCTGGCCAGGAATGGGCAGCACCCCGTGCCCAGGATGTAGGCTTCTATGAGCTGGCAGGGGCATGGAATCCTTGGAGAGTCCGTGTGCCGTGTCCCCAGGTCCTGGGGAAGCTGAGAGGTCACGAGGAGCCGGGTGTAGTAGCCGCCAAACACTGCCAGAAGCTGCTGGGCCATTTCCTGGAAGAGGCAGGGAAGCAGAGTGAGGGCCACAGAGAGGTCTCTAAAGAGTGAGGAGAAAGCCACGTGGTCCTTGGCTTTGACGCTGGTCCAGCGTGATACTCACTCAGAAGGACCCGGCCAGGCCCTCAGCCGGGGATCAATCTTGCAGATGCCTGAACGGGTCCAGATCTCCCGCTCTCAAGCTCTGTGAGGCTACTACAGTCTCCATTTCCTCATCTCCAAGGTGGGCAACCTAACTGCTAATAGGTGATGATGTGCACAAAAAAGCTTCCCTAGCGGCTCAGACGGTAAAGCGTCTGCCTGCAACGTAGGAGATCTGGGTTCAATCCCTGGATGGGGAAGAGCCCCTGGAGGAGAAAATGGCAACCCACTCCAGTACTCTTGCCTAGAAAATCCCATGGATGAAGGAGCCTGGCAGGCTACAGTCCATGGGGTTGCAAAGAGTCAGACACGACTGAGCAGCTTCACTTTCACGCACAAAAAGGCTAGGGAGCAGTAGAGAAATTACCATTAGCTTATACCAGCCAACCGCACACACACAGAGAGAGACACAGTCTCTTTCTGTCCTCTTCCAGTTTCAAGTGATTTTGTAAAGTACACGAGGTCAAGGTAATGCATCTGAAGAGACTCACCAGTAAACGGAGGCAGGGCTGGGAGAATACTCCTATGATGGCAGATTCTTCAATTTACACACGCTAGTACCTGCTGTATTACTTCAGACTAGAACTCCTATATTAAGTGTGCTGACAAAAACCACTGCAATATTATAAAGTAATTAGCCTCCAACTAAAAAAAATAAATGAAAAAATAAAAAATTTTAAAAAATAAAAGTGCTTATCAAGGCTACCAGATCACGCCTCTCTCTTCTATGCTGTGTGAGCCCCCTAGGGAAAATAAAGGATGCTCTGATGTAGGGACAGTGGGGTTTAGGGCCTGACTCAGTTGGATATTTAGGGGCAAAAAAAGCTGAGCCTAAAAGTGCAAGGAGACTGTCCCCGTCCCACTGAGAACCTGCCTTCACTTCCTGCCCTCATGCCTGTGAGAGGAGCAGGTTTCTCTCCAACAAACTACAATGCATCATTTCACCCTGTTCACATATTTGCTTTTGTTTGCTGGTTTGCTGGCTGAGGCCAAAGACCTCTTCAAGCAGAGGTGTGTGTACACAGGATCGGACACAAGACCAACACGGTACGATTCCATTTAAAAGAGGCACACACAGCAATAAGTTCAGGAAGTCCAGGCGGCTCAGTGGTAAAGAGTCCATCTGCTGATGCAGGAGACCCAGGTTCAGTCCCTGAGTCAGGAAGAGCCCTTAGAGAAAGAAATGACAATCCACTCCAGTACTCTTGCCTAGAAGATGCCATAGACAGAGGAGCCTGGTGGGCTACAGTCCACAGGGTCCACAGGGTCACAAAGAATCAGACAAGATTGAGTGACTGAGCACACATGTGTGCCTGTGCGCGTGCATGTGCGTGTTAGCCGCTCAGTCATGACCGACCCTACGGACTGTAGCCCACCAGGCTTCACTGCCCCTGGAATTCTCCAGGCGAGAATACTAGGGTAGGTCGCCATGTCCTTCTCCAGGGGTTCTTCCCGACCCAGGGGCTGAACCCGGGTCTCCTGCATTGCAGGCAGATTTCTTACCACTGAGCATACCCACAGAGCAATCAATTCATAGAGACAGAAAGTAGAATGGTGGTTCCCAGGGGCTGGGGAAGGTAAGAGAGTTTGTATTTAACAGGTATGTGGTTTCAATGATGAACAAAGAAGATAAAAAGGTTTTGGAGGAGGATGTAGTGATAGTTGCACAACAATGTGAATGTACTTAAGTGCCCTTGACTCACACACTAGAAAAGTTACGGTGGGAAATTTAATATTAAGTATATTTTATTGCAGTGGAAAAAAATTTAAGTAAAAAAAAAGAATTGGAAAAATTGTGTTTACTGCATGCTCTTATTAACACATTTGGTCTCCAAAGTTCCATCCACCTGTCTGGCAGCTGGGATTCCAGGGAAGATGCTCTAGCTCCTTAAATGCAGCACAGCTTAGGTGGTAGGACCCAATAAAATTTTGGAACAGGAGGAAATGGAATTCAACAGAGATGCACATAAGATTTCAATATCCAATTGCAATTTAAGAAGATAGATTCATGACAGACTGCCTGATAAACAGATTTTAAAAAGACCCAAATACTTATCAACATGTTCATGTTTAGGTAGGCTTACCATCTACTAACACACAACTACACATCCCATGGAACTACACAAAAAAAATACCAAGATATTTTTTAAATGGGGGGGGGGACCTAATAAGTATTTTATATCTAAAATTTTATATTTATTTTCCACTTTCAGAGATCTTTCACCTGCAGCCAGTCTGAAGGTAATGCAGTAAGGTGTGGGTTACACCCAGGCTGTTTATGTCGGTACAGTTAGGCTTCAAGAATAGGCTTTTGAATTAAAAGGGCCAGGTGGGACTATCCGCTCAGCTACCCTGGGACAGACTGGGAACAAGTCACTTCACCTTGCTGAGCCATTTCCTCAGCAGCAAAAGACAAAAAATCGAGACATCTTTCTGTTTGTGCTAGAGTGAGGATTCATTAAAGGAGCTTATGGAAAGAAAGCCCAGTGTACAGTGCTCAATAAATGCCATCAATATCACTATCATTATCATTATTTAAAAAACAGAATCTAGCTCTGTTAGAGCAGTGTTTCCTTAGAGTTATCCTTTGTGCTAGAAAAATGCTGAAAACATCAAATAGCCTACCACTTACTAATTCAGATTGAGCTTTGCACCCATTTACTTTAAAATTGATTAACATAAGCAAAGAAACTCAACAAGAAAATTTGCCTCCTGAAATCATAGGCTGGTTTCCGCCTTGGATTCTGCCATATTCTCCCTTGTTATGTGACCTTGGGTAAGTCAGTTGACCCCCTGGAAGTTTATTTCACCCAACACGAAAAAAGGGAAAATAACCCATATTTCAGAGAAAATGCTAAAGAATTTTATGCATGACAAAAATCTATAAAAATGTAAGAGGTCATTATAACTATTTATCTGCCTTTCACACACACTGGGTTCCTCCTGAAATATGACAGTCTGGACCAGGCTGAGACTTGGGCATCGATTGTATTTTCCCTCACTACATTGTAAGGGCAGCTACTTTAAAAACATGTGCACACACTTGATATTCATGACAGGAAATTGTATTAGTATTGGTTTGAATGAATTTGAAAAAAATCATTTAAAAGACCCATCATAGTTAATAGGCTATTTCACATAAACCCAGACATGCATGCACAAGAAAGAATGTGACCTTATATTTTCAGCTCTTTGAAGAGATTAATATATTTATCATTTTCTCTCATATTGGTCCTATTTGCAGGCTCCCCACTCCCCATCCATGCAAAAGGAAAAGTCTGGACTGGGCTGGACTTTTCATCTCCAAATCCATTGGCAAAAAACCAAAGGCAAGTGTTCGCCTGTATCACACCCTGCTGGAGATAACCCCTTGCTGCAAGTCATCCAAACCACCTGTCCTCCTGGTGAGAAGGGGGTTCCACAAGCTGCAAACCACATTACCAGACTTCTGGTCTACCAGCTCTTAGCCATGCCAAACAAACAGCTTAGCTAGCAGGACCAATAGAACTCTGGAGCAGGAGGAAATGGAATTCAACAGAGATGCACATAAGATTTCAATATCCAACTGCAATTTAAGGAGATAGATAAATTGATGATAGATTGGTTGATAAACAGATTTTAAAATGACCCAAATATTTATCAACATACTCATGTTGAGGTATGCTTACCATCCATTGACACACAACTACACATCCCATGGAACTATACAAAAAAATACCAAGAGGCTTTTGAAATGGGGGCGGGGGGGTACCCGGTAAGTATTTTATATTTAAAAATTTATATTTATATTCCTCTAAGCTATCTTTTAAACTGCTGTGGTGATAAAAAATATATTAAAAAACTAGTAGGCTAGAAGAGGTGTATGGTCCCCACCAACTCGGTAAAGACACGTCCCCAGGAATCTACGGTAGAACTTGAGAGCCATGCACGGACTCTATACAAACACCCAGTGAAGGAGGGAGGCCCTGACTGACCCAGGTGCCTATTACCTCCGGCTCAGCCTCAGGAACAAGCTGGCGAAGTTCAGTCTGCATGAGCGGCTTCTCCGTGGAACCCGGACGGTCGGGCAGGAGAGGAGCTTCCTCTAGCAGGTTCTCCGGCCCCTCATCGGCTGTGGGGCTCACCCCAGTCTCCATGACAACACAAAGCTGGCTCAATCTGCTTCTCAGCAAGGACTGCAAAGGAAACAGAGAGGGGCTGGGTGGTATCCTCAGTTGGGTGGATGTAGGAGGCCAGGTGGCTAGCCAAGCATCAGACCCACAGAGGATGGATGGACCATCTACAGATTCAGATGCCGACCTCAGGAGACCCTGGAGCTGAGCCACATTGGAGAGATCAGATAATTCCTGCAAAAATAGCATCAGAAGCACAGGGCTCAAGGATGGGAGGACTGGACTCCGAATCCAGCATTTCCAGCTGGCTCTGGGCCTTCTCAGAGCCTCCGTTTCTGCTTCAGTGTAGGTGAAGCAAAATCTCCCTGTTCTTCCTCAAAACACTGAAGATTCTGAACAAGGGATAGTCACCTAAATATATGGTATTTTCCTCTGCCAGAATATTTATCGTTGTTGTGATAAATGCAATCTATTGTTATTTATTACTATAATTATAATTAAATGTTCACTATAAGAAATGTGGCAAGTGCAACTAGTTAAAAAGGAAGAGAAAAATGGCCATCATTCCCTAGGCAAAAACAGCCATGAAGAAAAAAAAAACAGCCATGATTCCACAGAGGTATTCTTCCTTCCAAGTAACTTGTTCCTTAGACATTTTTTCCAACACCGAGATAATGCAATCTGTACAATTTAGCCTCCTGGTTTATTTCCTTCTTTTGTTTTTCACTCAAGGTATCTTACCTCTTGGCTCATCTTCATGTCTTGAATGTGATCGGACAAAAACTGCACACAGGTCTCCAGGTCGAAATAGACAAACCAGAGCTGGGAACAGAAGCAGTCATGATCACAGAGGACAAAGCCTGCCTGACCTCGAACTCTCCATCCCCAAGCCAGGCCTCACCGCCTGCCTCCTCCCCACAGGCCTGCCCTTCTGGGTATGAGCAGATTCACCCTGGTCTCAGACGGGAGCCATTCTGCTGTCTCTCAGAGTTCCCCTACATGGCCGATCCCCTTTGGATGACTGGCAGACAAATGGCTTTGTGTGCAAAATTTGGAAAATGTCAAACCCTGCCCTGAATGGCTGAAGTCCCATCTCTCTCAAGTCACTGAACATCCCGGATAAACTGTGGACCATCCTGGACATCACATATCCACCTGGGATGAACACATGTATGTACCCCCTCTATCCGCCGTGATTGGGATGCCCTTCGATCTAGAACCCAAAAATCAAACGAGAGAAACCCTTGAGAGCTATCACCTCTTCTGTCCGTGGCCAGGTCAGAGGTAATCGACTTGGGGGCTCTGGGAATAGGAGAGTTTAAGAAGTCTGCCTGCCCCTCACCATCACCTCCCCTTCCACCTCCACCTCCACAGTCCTCAAGAGGCCAGGTTCAACTCAGCCAGGTGGGAATCCTCCATGTTCACACATTACTACCCAAGTTCTGCAAGAAACCAGTGGTGCCTGTCTCATACCCCTGTCCACAGACCCGCTCCTCTAGATCGCGGGCCTCCCTCTTCCCAGTGAGACCCAAGGTCACACCTCTCCCACTACCTCATCCCCAAGGGAATACTTTTTAAGTAGATTTCTTTTTTACTTTTTATCATGAAATTTTCCAAACATATATACACAGAAGGAAAGCACAGGAAGTCATTAACTCCCAGTTACGCGTCATCTTGGTTCAGTGATTATCTCTTTATGCTACCCTTGTTTCATCTCTACCCCCACCCATTCCTCATCTTGGACCCCTCCATGCCCCACATCCCCCCAAAAAAATTCCAAGATATTATATCACCCCATCTCAACATGCTACTTTGCAACTGAAAGAACCCAGTTTTTTAAAAGATGTGTCCACTCCTTAGTCAATCCAGCCAGCCAGCCGTACATTCAACTAACACTTGTCAAGTCGTTCCTCTGTACCAAATGATAAAGAGGATTTAGAGATAAACGAGGCTGAAAGGACCCCCAGATTCAAGAAGCTCCTGATCTAACTATCACGCTTGACCTACCAGTAGTCTAGTGACCAAGTTCACCCTTGGTGTCAAGCAAGATCCCTTTGCATCCTGCACCATCTAGGGCATGCTCCGTAAACTCAGGATCTGCCTCTGTCTGTTCTCTGCCGCAGCCTCAGTACCTAGAACAGTGCCTGGCACAATGTGGGCTCTTAGTAAGTATTTTGGGGATGTACAGGTCATGTGCCCAATGGGCTTCCTACCAAAGACCACCTGTCTCGGGCTCCCACTGGGTGAGATGTGGGTGTGACACTGACTGAGGAGATGCACCAATCCCCCTGGCAGAGCCCAGCCAGGATCAGGAGCCCTGAGCCTCATCCAGCCCAGCTGTGTCCCAGACCCACTGCGTGACCTCCTTCCGCTCGCTTCAGATCTCGCATTTCCCTGGAGCCAGGGAAACAAGCAAGCTAGGGGGACACGGCCTTCAGGGTCTGACCTGCCTCTCCAGGGACCTCATCTGAGCACTGAGGGCTTGAAGCAGGGGAGGACCCATCTCTCTGGCGAATAAATGTGGAATGCGGAATGTGGCTTGGCTTCCTTCAAGCTGTCCTTCCAGCCCTGCCTCGTGGAGGTTCTAGGCTGCCGCTGACCGCCCCGAGAGGCGTCTCCAGAAGGGAACACAGGAGCAGGGAGGAAGGAAGCGCTGCCGACGCTGTCTCTGTTAGCAGACCCTGGCAGCCAGCACTGCACAGGCCGGGCGAGCCAGCCTCAAAGCTCCCACAGGAGGGTCGCTTGGTGACGCGGTACCTGGATCACACTCTGGCAACCTTCCACCGTGTCCGTCACCCCCAGCAGCACCCGGTGTCTCAGGAGGGCTCCGTTGGCAGCTGTCAGCCTGAGGTCTGTGTTGCTGTTGGCCTAGAAGACAAACGCCAGCCTCGCGGCCTGAACTTCATGTTGCCGGGGCGCTCCTGGGCCCGGGTAATAACCACACGCTGTCCCAGCCCGAGACAGCACGGGACAATCTTGGTCTTTAAGACACAGCCAATGTCTCCCCTATATAACAGTCCATGGGGTTGTTGGGACAATAAATTCAGCAGTGTCAGTGAGTCTGGGGTGAAGCCCAGCTCCACTACTTCTGGGCAGGGTGGTCCTTGCCAACTGTGTCCCTTCTCTGAGTCTTGCTTTCTTCAGGTCTGAATAAGGATAAAAAGTGTCCCCAGCCCTGAGGAAGGTGGTGAGATTGAATTGAGACTGTGTGTGAAGCACTTCACGCAGTGCCCAGGACACCGTCATGTGCCACAGGTATCTGCAAGAAGAGGGGATAGGAAAGGCTGCCGCCTCTCGCAAACAGGCGGAAACCAAGGCAGTGTGTATACATGCTGAAGCTCTCAAGGACATTGTGTGATGCAGGTTGAACACGAACACTAAGAGTGACAACGGTCAGGGAGGAGGATCTGCACCGCCCTGAGGGACAAGGGATTTGAGAAGAAAGAAGTCCTTGAACTGAGGCTCAAAGGAAGACATAGGAAGGCTGTGTGACCACAAACCAGTTACTTAACCTCTCTGAGCTTCGGTTTCCCCACTAGTGAAGAGTTAATACTTTATGCAATACCAAGTAGGATTATGGGCTCCCCTGGTGGCTCAGATGATAAAGAATCTGCCTGCAACATGGGAGACCCAGGTTCAATCCCTGGGTTGGGAAGATCCCCTGGAGAAGGGGATGGCAACTCATTCCAGTATTATTGCCTGGAGAATTCCATGGGCAGAGGAGCCTGGCGGGCTACAGTCCATTGTCTCACAAAGAGTTGGACATAACTGATCAACTAATGCACACACACACACAAGGAGGATTATAAGCATGCTGCATGTATTATATCATTTAGTTCTCCCTGCAATCCTATGAGGAGCTACAATTACTATCCCATTTTACAGATGAGAAAACTAAAGCCCCAAGAGGTTAAGCAATAAGTCACCCCAGGTTGTAGGGCTAGCAAATGGTAGGGGTATCCTGCCTGCTTATCAGGTTTTTGGGCATAGATATCAGGCCCCAAATACAGAACACATAATTAGTGCTCCTTAAATGATGGCCATATTAGAAAGTAAAGGATCCTGGAGGATCAAAAAACAGTATGACAGAAGGGCCATTATATACCTGGGGCCTCCATGCTGTACCTACGAGTAAAAACAGTTTTGTTCATCTCTCTGCCCTATGCCCAGCACATCCCCTAGCACTTGCTGAGCCTTCATAAATACCAGCTGAATAGGGAAGAAATGGAGGGAGGCAGAAACCCACAGCAGGCCTCCCCTGAACCGCCTCCCTGAAGCACCTGCCAGGTGCCAGATATTTTTCTTGCTCCTGATAAAGCAGAACACTTAGCATTTTCCCCCTCCCCAAGAGAAGGTTCTTGTTGCAAAAGCAGCCAGTTCAATTTATTTTTTATAGGCCAAACACAAGACCATGAAAGCATTAACGGAGCCCAAGGGCAGCATTATTTTGTCAGCCTCATCTTGAAGCTCAACAAAGATCCTTTCAGAATGGTTGAGCCATAAAGTTCCTATTCGTCCCTGTGAGCACAGGCGCTAAATGGAATTCATACCCCAGACCCTGACCACATTTCCTCACAGCCTGCCCTCTCCTCCTGAGTCAGGCAAGAGTAGAGTGTTTACTAAAGGTCTCAAAGTCCAGCTCTGTGCCAGGTGCTGGGGAGCTTCCTAAAGTAGCTAGGAGAACAGTGGAGGGGTTTCGCTAGTGATCCGGGGGCTCAGAACCCACTTGCCAATGCAGGAGACACGGGTTCGAGCTCTGCTCCGGGATGATCCCACATGCTGCAAGGCAACTAAACCCAGGCACCACATCTACTGAGCCCAGACTTAGAGCCCGTGCTCTGCAACAGGAGAAACCACACGATGAGACCCTGTGCACCGCAACTAGAGAGCAGCGCCTGCTCGCTGCAACTGGGGAAAGCCACGTGGAGCAACGAAGACCCAGCACAGCCAAAAATAAACAAACACATTTTTTTTAAAAAAAAAGAAGAAAGAAAGAAAGATGGTGGAGGTGTGGTAGGCAGAATAACGACCTCCCAAGGCTGCTTAAATCCTACCGCACAGAGTCTGTGAATTTATGCTATATGACACGGAGGAATTAAGGTGGTAGATGGAATTAATGACGCTAAAGAGTTAGCCTTAAAATAGGAAGACCGGCCCAGATTACCTAGACAGCCCAAAGACCCAGCGATCAAACCTGAGTCTCCTGCGTTGCAGGCAAATTCTTTACCATCTGAGCTACCGAGGAAGCCCTAAAGTCATCACAAGGGGCCTTAAAAGTGGAAGAGGGAGGGAGAAGACTCAGAGTCAAGAATGTGAGAAGGACTCAATCCACCACTGCTGGCTCTGAAGATGGAGGAAGGGGCCACGAGCCAAGAAATGCAGAAGGCCTCCAGAGCTAGAAAAGACAAGGAAACAGATTCCCCACTAGAGGTTCTAGAGAAGAGACAGCCCTGCCCTGTCAAAACTTTTAAACTACAGAACTGTAAAACAAAACATTGTTTTAAGCCACTTCATTTTTGGTTATCTGTTATAGCCACAAAACACCAGTGCACTTGGGTATTGGTCCAGAACGTGGCTTGGAATCTGAGCTCCTGGCTTTGAATTCCAGCTCTGCCATTTATTAGCAGCATGACCATGGACTACTCCTTGGGCCTTTTGGAACCTCAAGTACCTCATCTGTAATGTGAACGTAAAAGACTTGACCCAGAGATTTACTGGGGGATTCAATGAGTTAATGTATGTAAAGCATTTAATAGACATCTACCACAAACGAAGTACTCAACAGTAACAAAAGACTGATGTTGAAGAAGCAGAAGACAGTTAGCAAACCATACATTAAGCCAGGGGGTATCAATCTCCTTTGTGAATGAAGTCAGGAATCAGAGGGTTCAAGCTTGGAACCCCCAACCCTGCCAGTCAGACTGGGATTGGCACAAGTTACCTAAACTCCCTGATCACCCACTCTCGGCCTCAAAGGTCAGTACTGGGATTAAACGAGATGCAACTGGCAGCTGAGCGCCAGGCTGGAGTCCCCCCACGCACAGGGGAGATGCGTGGCAGGGCTGTCGCCTCAGAGGGCCGTCCTTGCCACCCCCAGACTCTCAAAACACAGCCCGCTTCCACAACACAACCCACAGGGATCAGAGGGAAACACAGAAAGGACCTGATCACACGTGTGACTGGTCTGCCTTGAGTCGCTGGGCACACGGACCATGGCAAAGTTTCACAGCTGGGGAAATTCTTTGAAGCAGGTGGAAGAAAAGTCTGACTTGGGGTTCTCCTGCCGGTACAGCCTCTCTGGAGGGAGCATGGCTGGGGTCCCCGGAGGGCTCACCTTCCTCTGGTGTCTCTCGAAGATGAGCACGAGAGTCAGGGTGAGGCTCATGGCAGCCAGGGTCACGAGCAGCAGGCCCACCCAGTGGTCTCCCAGGGCGAACATCTGGCTGGTGGAGTAGATGTTGGCCCACACCACCACGTAGAACACCTGTGGGAAGCCAGAGGAGGGGCGTGGTCAGGGACACCTGTCCTTGGATGATGCAGCTCCACTCCCAGGGGCACTCTCTGGCCACTTCGGACACCCTCCTCGGATTCAGAGAGCTCCCAGTGCCAGGCAGAGACCAATGGGGGTGTGGGGGCCTGTGAGAATGAGCCCTTGTTCCTTGTTCATAAGTAGAGGGAGAGGCAAGGGGTTAGAACAGGCATTCCAAATTCCTGCTAACTCTGATTTTAAATAAAACAGAAAAGGACAGGGCTTGGGAGTGAAATGAATCTGAGTCAGAAGCCCATGTTGATCCTTTAAATGCTAGGTGGACTTAACACGTTATAGCACCTCTCTGAGCCTCAGTTTCCTTATCCATAAAATGGGGATAATAATACCTCCCTCCTGTGGCTGTTATAAAGGTCAATAAAAGAACCAAGTCCCAGAGAGCAGAAAGGTCTTGGATAACAAGACCGGATACTAAGACTGGGGCCTCGGGGGTGGGTCTGCAGATTCCCAGTGCCCCGGCCTCTGCCCTTAGTAAACCTGCCTTCCACCACTTACATGAGGAGCTGGGAACAACTCTCCCCCATAAACCTCCTCCTACACCAAACCCAGGGCCACGGGTACTGCTCTCTCCCAGGCAGCCCGGCCACCAGCCCCTAAACCCGTCACCAGCACCCCCAGCTGCAGGGCATGGCACTGAATTCAGCAGTCTGAAGGGACCCCGCCCTCCTTACCACAGCGAAGGCTAGCCGCATGGGCCTCGAGTTGTAGATGATGTATCTCCTCACTTGGGGCTCTAAGAGGGCGCTCTCAGCCAGGCTCCTGTACTGGTCAGCTGGGACCTGTTCGGCCACCCAAGGGAAAGAGACTCGTCGGCCACAGAGAATCACGCCCCACGTCTTCCCACCGGCAAGCATGCTGTGTGCAGTTCACGTGGCTATCATGTGGAAGGGGGGTGAGTGCATCCTGGGCTGCCCGAGAAGGCAGAACAAGGCGCACGGAGCCCCGAATGGCATCACAGGGTCAGAGGAGGACGGGCCCTACTGGGGGGACGGGACAGCTCGAGAGCCAGGGGGACGTCCAAGAGAGGGACGCCCATAACCCCAGGCTCAGCACCTCACAACAGACCCAGGAGAGCCTAATGGTTAAGGGGCAGGCCCTGGAGTTGCCCAGCCCTGGGTCCAAACCTTGGCCCTGCCCCTCATGTGCTGCGTGACCTGGAGCAAGGAAACCCACTTCTCTGAGCCTCACTTTCCTCCTCTGGGAAATGAGGGTGATAAATGTACACTTTACAGAGGTGGTGTGCATATTAAACAAGATAACACATATAACACTTACATATGCATTATACAGTGAGTGAAAGTCGCCCAGTCATGTCTGACTCTTTGCGACCCCATGGACTTAGTTCATGGAACTCTCCAGGCCAGAATACTGGAGTGGGTAGTCTTTCCCTTCTCCAGGGGATCTTCCCAACCCAGAGATCGAACCTAGGTCTCCCACATTGCAGGCGGATTCTTACCAGCCAAGCCACAAGGGAAGCCCATATATTACACAGTAAATATATGTATAATATATATACATATTATCTGGACATCGTTGGGAGTTTCTGTTCTCTTACTTGGGGCTTCCCTGGTGGCTCAGATTGTATAGAATCTACCTGCAACGCCAAAGACCTGGGTTTGATCTCTGGGTTGGGACGATCCCCTGGAGGAGGGCATGGCAACCCACCCCAGTATTTTGCCTGGAAAGTCCCCAAGGACAGAGTAGCCCAGTGGGCTACAGTCCATGTGGCTGCAAAGAATCAGACGGGACTGAGCGACTAAGCACACAGTAGTCCTCTTTCTCAGACGGATACGTGTATCTAACTATCTGCTTAGACAAGCCCAGGGCCACTTCCAAAGTGAACACCTGATACACAAGTGTCAGTATCAAACTACACAACTATTAGTACAGTCCAAGATACTGAAAACTCATATCTTCCTGCCCAAGCAAAACGCCCTAGAGCATAAAGGTCTTACGAGAATGGACTGCTTAAGAACACAGAATTTAATCATTAGAGACGATATTTAGGAGCATGGTAGAACAATACGCAAACTGTTCACCAGTGAAGAAAACCCCATCTGAAGACAACTGTTTAAGGAAAATGTCCTTTTGTACAAAGGCTGAAAGGAAGCATGGGAAGGAAAACCAGCTGTCGTGCTGATGTGGGGTGAGTACTGTCAACTTGGAACGTTTCCCATTAATGGTGCTAAAATGTTTTAAACCATAATACCATTCTGTGTTAAAGGAGTAAATTCTCAAGTCTTCAGGGTAAAATTAGCATTGTAGCTTCCTTATCCATAAATAACCCATCCTGGGCAATGATGATCAAGACCTCATCACTCTAAAGGATATGAGAAGAGTGAGAATCACACCTGTGGGAACTTAAAGAGGCACAGTTTATTGAACATTTACTATGTGCCAGAGCCAGTGCAAGTGTTCCTTGAGCACCGTGTCTTCTCATTTGCACAGAAACCCCAGTGTGTGACCCCAGGCACGGGGACCTAGTCACCTCTGTGGTAATCACGGAGCAGTTAAGTGCCCAGCACAGGGCAGACACCCCCAAACACACATCTATTAAGTGAATTAATTGGCATTTCAAGCATGGGGTAGGTGCTTAAAAAAAAATGCTGTGAACCACTGCTATGTTTAAAACGGATGACCAACAAGGACCTATTGTAACACACACGGAACGCTGCTCAATATTATGCCACAGCCTGGGTGGGCGGGGAGTCTGGGGCGGGGTGGGATCCATACATGTTTGTGTATGGCTGAGTCCCTTCACTGTTCACCCGAAACTATCACAACATTGTTAACTGACTAAACCCCAACATAAGACAAAATAAAAATAAAAATAAATAGAATTTTAAAAAAACAATGAATGAACCAGTAAAAAAAGAAAAGTTGCAAATAATGAAATGATAGAATAGATAAGACAGATGGGTGGACTGATGGGTGGATGGGAGAAAAAGTAATAAGGATACAACAAAGTCAGCACTCACCTGAATACCCCAGGTCTGCAGTTGCTCTTCGGCGGCTCCCAGGTCAAATGAGATGGGCGCACAGGTATTGTCGACCCGGAGCACCGTGAGGACCTGGCCATTGCGGAGCTCTGAAAGCAGACAGACGCTTCATCTGGCTAAGCGATAAGGACTTGGGGTGAACCCAGACCTTGATGGCATCACCTCCTCCGGCCTTGAGAACATTCGCAGGGCAAGGAAGGACTTGCCATTCTCAAACCTTCCAGTGAAGGCTGAAGGTAAAAGTAAGGGTCTAATCAGCTGGCCCGAAATAGGAAGACTCCTAGGTCATCTGGGTGAAGTGGAAAATGTTAGTTGCTGATTGATGTCCAAGTTTTTGGGACCCCATGGGCTGTAGCCTACCAAGCTCCTCTGTCCATGGGATTCTCCAGGCAAGAATACTGGAGTGGATAGCCATTCCCTTCTCCAGGGAAATCGTCCTGACCAAGGGATCAAACTCCAGGCTCCTGCATTGCAGGCAGATTCTTTACCTTCTAAGCCACTAGGGAAGCCCAGATAATCTGGGGAGGGGTCCACTGCAATCACAAGGATCCTTAAAAGCGGAAGAGGGAGGCGGCAGAAGAGCCAGGAGGGCTGTGACTATGGAAGAAAGGTACAAAAGATGGAACACCTCTGGCTTTAAAGTGGCAGAAGGCTTCAGGAGCCAAGGGATAGAGGCAGCCTTTAGAGGCTAGGAAAGAAAAGGAAACAGAGTCTCTCCTGGAGCTTCCTAACACAGCCCTGCTGACCTCACGATCTGAGCTCAGTGAGGCCAGGATCAGACTCCTAACCTACAGAGCTGTAAGAGGATAACTACATTTTCTAAGCCCCTGTCAGTGGTCATTGTTACAATAACCACAGAAAACGAAGCCACCAACTTATTGGCAAGCCCTCCCCAGTATATCAGCACTCATCATTTTAAAAGCATAAACTGCATGAAAGTCATACATCAAAAAGCATACCAGCTCAGGCTTATCACAACCTCTCAGGCCTGCCCTGCAGCGCTGCACTGAAGCCAGACCAGGAGCCAGAGTGAGGCAATCCCCCCAGGCCCAGGAGAAAGGCAGCAGAAAGAAGCCACACCTACTCCCCTTCTGAGTAAACTGTCCAAAAGGACTGAGCTCTTCCCTCAGCTATGAGGCCCCGGGAGCCACCGGTGAGCAGCGCAAAGCTGGGGCTGGCTGAGTCCTGAGATGCAAGGACCCTAGAGCCTAGCTGCTCAAGGCTGGGAGCTGAATATTTCAGCACATTTTCTGTAGCTGTCGCTCAGAAGCATGTTATCTACTGGCACAGATCCCAGCTCTGGGCAATACTGGAGTCTTAAAACTCTACCTTCCTGGGGATTCCTGCCCACCCCCTCAATCACTCCTCCACCCCCTCACCCAGTCCATCCCTGGGCCCTGCCAACTGGGCCCGACAAAATCTCTCCTGGCTCCACGCACCCCTCGGCATCTTGGCCACAACCCTCTCCCAGGCTCCCTTCCCCGCTCCCTGTCCCCTGTCTCCTAACTGGCTTCTCCAACTGCTCTTCCTCATATAGTGCATTCACAGAGCAGCCAGGGCACAAATCAAATGATACAAATCCTCTGAGCGAAACTATTCAACAGGGGCCTGCCCTGGTGGTCCAGTGGGTAAGAATCTGCCCGCCAATGCAGGGGTCTCAGGTTCGATCCCTGGTCTGGGAAGATCCTACATGACATGGAGCAACTAAGCCTGTGGGCTGCAACTACTGAAGCCCATGTGCCCTAGGGCCCATGCTCTGCAACAAGAAAAGACACTGCAATGAGAAGCCCGTGCACCTCAACTAGAGAGTAGCCCCCATTCCCTCAACTAGCGAAAGCCCGCACACAGCAATGAAGACCCAAGCTCAACCAAAAATAAATAAACAAATAAATATTTTTTTAAAAAAAAAGTAACTTTCAATAGCTTCTCAGTGCTCTGAAGAAAACCAACCTCCTTACCATACTCCCCCAGAACTTAGAAGAACTAGCCTCCTGCCAAACTCAGCTTGAAGGCTCAGCCTCATTCTGTGTCTTGCCGCTCCAGCCTCCTTTGTTCCTTGGACATGCAGTGTTCCTTCCCACCCCAGGGCCTTTGCATATGCTCTTCCCTCTCTCTCCCTAGAACACATACCCCTGGCATCACTCCCTTAGATTCCAGTCATCATTTGCATTCCAGTTCATTAATCCCTTTCCCAGGGAGTCTGCCTTGATGCTCTTAACTCTTGTCAGGTCAAATCTGTCTGATAAACCTGCCAATCACTGCCCTTCTCCTTTATGCTCACTAAAGATGAGCACATTTGTACCCAGTTACTCAGTTAGTCCACTGTCTCCATCCAAACAATATACTCCCACATGGGTTTTACACATCACTGAATCCCCTGAGATGGATTCAGTGCCAAGTATACAGCAGGTACTAGATAAATGTTTCATGTATGAAAGAAGTGGGGGAAGCACACGCTGGATGGTTTGGGGTTCAAATTTTAAGTGAGCCTCTCACTAACAGAAAAACCTTGAAGAAGCAATTTAATTCCTGGCCATCCCCTTAGAGGATGATGATATCCACTGCAGAGGATTTTGCAAATAATCAAGACGGTGAAAATACAGCATTTAGTGTAAAATGGGTGCTGAATAATTGGCTGCTATGGTTGTCATCATTTAAAAGCTTGTCAGAGCACCTAAGTTACCATAAAGCCACACTGGTTTAGTTGTATTGGTTTTTATCCTCCCACACCTTGTTCCAGAAGGGATTTCATAAAAATAAAATATGAAAAGGCAAAATTATACAATTAGATTTTAAAATAAGCAAATGAAGGAAAACAGATAAAAAGAAGATAAAGGCTGAAATAAAAATAGAACAACAAAATAAAATATGAAGAGTTTCCGGGGACTAAGCCTTTCCCATGCAGCAGGCACAGTCTCCGGGTCAGAGTCCTGATTCCATTTAATCCTCCAAGAGCCCTGCGCTTAGTCACTCAGTTGCATCTGACTTTGCAACTCTATAGACTGTAGCCCACCAGGCTCCTCTGTCCAGGGGGGTTCTCCAGGCAAGAATACTTGCCATGCCCTCCTCCAGAGGATCTTCCCAACCCAGGGATCAAACCCAGTCTCCCGTACTGCAGGCAGATTCTTTACCGTCTAGCTACCAGGGAAGCCGAAGAATACGGGAGGGGGTAGCCTATCCCTTCTCCAGGGGCTCTTCCCAATCCAGGAATTGAGCCAGGGTCTCCTGCAAGAGGCCTAGAAAGTGGAAAACAATTACTATGGGAAAGGAAACAGGGCCTCCGAAAGGAGAATCAGCTTGCCTGGTGGTACCAGGGGAAATGAAAGTAAGAAAGAGAAGTGAAAAGAAAGAGGAGCACAGAAAAGGCAGGCAGTTGTGCTACAGGAGCCTCAGACTAGCCTTTCACTGCACAGCACACAGTGGAAAACCCACACTGATCTGGACCTCAGGCTTGGAGACTGTGAACTGCTCCCCCAGCCTGGCTCTTTGCACTGTGTGGACAGTGTTTGCCCGAACAATGCAAAGACTTTTCACGGTGATGGTGCCTCTGTTTCCCTTTCAAACCATGAATTCCTGGATTCTTGGCAATAATCTCGCTCATCTGTTTCTTAAAGTGAGAACTGTAAGTCCTCCACTTAAAAATTCTTGTTTTCACACTCAGGCTAAGAAAAGGGATCTGAAAAGCTACCAAAAAACGTGTGTGTGTGTACAAGTGTGTCTGTGTGCATGTGTATGTACGTGTGTGCACATACAGAAAGCTATTTCCTATAAAGGGGCAAGAACTAGCTTGCCAGAAACCAGTGGAGCAATGTCTTCAAAGAGCTGAAGGCAAATTATTCCATTCTATTTCATTCTACTGGTATGCGTGTATGTGTGAATTGCTTTCCTAATAACAGAAGACATAAAAGGAACCCTTGTTTTTAAGTGTGAAATCATCTAAGAAACCAGCCACAATGTAAAATGCCAACTCCACTTGCCTATGCCCAGCCACTCATTCATTCATTAATTCATTCATTCAAAATACTTACTGAGTTATGACCAACCTAGACAGCATATTAAAAAGCAGAGACATTACTTTGCCAACAAAGGTCTGCCTAGTCAAGGTTACAGTTTTTTCCAGTAGTGATGTATGGATGTGAGAGTTGGACTATAAAGAAAGCTGAGCGCAGAAGAATTGATGCTTTTGAACTGTGGTGTTGGAGAAGACTCTTGAGAGTCCCCTGGACTGCAAGGAGATCCAACCAGTCCATCCTAAAGGAGATCAGTCCTGGGTATTCATTGGAGGGACTGATGCTGAAGCTGAAAGTCCAATCCTTTGGCCACCTGATGCGGAGAGCTGACTCATTTGAAAAGACCCTGATGCTGAGAAAGATTGAGGGCAGGAGGAGAAGGGGACAACAGAGGATGAGATGGTTGGATGACATCACCAACTCAATGGACATGGGTTTGGGTGGACTCCGGGAGTTGGGGATGGACAGGGAGGCCTGGTGTGCTGCAGTTCATGAGGTCGCAAAGAGTCAGACACGAGTGAGTGACTGAACTGAACTGATTATGGGCCAAGCTGTGTGCTAGGTACTATAGACACAGGGATGAACAAAGCAATGCAGAGCCCCTGCCCTCATGCAGCTTACATTTTACTTAGGAAGCTGGACATTCCACATGTTATTACACGGGGAATTAATTTAATTACAAACTGCTAAGTGCCATAGGGAGAAGCAGAGATATATCAGAGGGTCTGGCTTAGGCTGGGCCACCAGGGGAGGATTCCCCATGGAAGGGATATCTGAACTGAGCTCTGAAGGATGAAAGGAAATAAAACAGAGGAAAGGAAACAGGGGAAGGGCATAACACACAAAACAGACAGTAGGTGCAAAGGTCCTGGGGCAGGGAAGCATGGCAGGGGCAGCAGGAGCCATTAAGGCAGGCCTTGCAAGCTGGTGAATGACAGATCTTCATGCTTAGTCCAGTGGGAAACACTGAGACAGAAATGGAAACAGAAGGTTGTGCATTTTTAAAAACCCCTCGGAGATGCCACGAAGAGACAATGGAAGGGGCAAGGAGGAAAGGTGCTAGGAAGCTATAGCATCCTAGCAGAGGGCAAGCTAAGGAATCCGGTGAAAGAATAAGTAGCAATGACAGAAATGCCTGGAAACACATCCCCAAATGCCCACCCTTATCTGAGGCACTTCTGTGCCCTTCCACTCACCTCTCCTCAAGCATACTATCTGAGTCCAGCTCAGCATCCTACGAGCGGGGGCAGGGGGGCAGAGGAGGAAGGAATTAAGGGTCATGACCCTACCTTGCCCCCAGCCAGGAGGGCTTCCGCCAGGCAGGGCGCTCCAGCCAGGGGAGGAGGTGGGCAAGGGGCCAGCCGCCCCGCCGGGGTCCATGTGCGGTTCACACGCCATAGCAGCACCAGCAGGACTCCTACTTCCCCTTCTCAGAGCTGCGGTTCATCCTGGAGCAGCCAGCTCAGCTTCGCCTGCCTTCAGAAAACAACATCACGAGAAAAAACTTCAGGCCTGGTCCTGGGCTGGCCGGCTTCCTCAGACTCTCAAGGCCAAAGCCATCACCAGGCTGAGGAGAGCCACCCAGAGTCTTTCCTCAGACTGTGGTCTCGTTGATCAGGCTAAGGAACATTCTCTGAGGGAATGAAGAGCGGGAGCCAGAACCCTCCTAGGCCTGGGCTGAGCACTTCCCTCTGGTCCTGGATCTCCTCCAGCTCAGACACATCCAGGAACCACACGGAACTCAGGAGCTGACCAGACCCCACTCTCAGGCATCTGGGATTTCCCTTCCTGACTGAGCATAGGATAGGTCTATTCATCACAGGGAGCCTTGTTTATACAAAGCAACAAAATGTTATAAAAAGAAAAGAGCAAGGACTTCAGCACCAAAGGACCTAGATGTGAACCTTCACTTGACCCTCACGTGCTCTGGGACATCCACTGTCAAGGTACTTAGCTCCCCAAGCCTTGCTGACCTCACTTGCAAAATGGGTGCAGGGAGGCCAGCCCGGCATAGCTGCAGTGGGGCTACACAAAGAAATACAAGTGTGGCATCTAGTATCCTGCTCACCATCAGGCCCATTTCCTCACAGGTTTTTCCCATTTCCTCGGAGACAGAACTGCAAGTCAAAGATGTGACGTGACCCACCCAAAGTGGAGTGGCTGGGAGCTGTGGGGACAGATGAACCAGGCCATCCAGCTCCAGAATCCAAGCCCATCATTCCCACATCTCTGAACCTCGGAACCCAGGTCTGGCTATGGCTGAGCCTTTCTTAAACCGCCTTAAAAAACAGTGGGTGGAAAGAGACTGCGTTTCCCAGGTGTGATCTAGCAACACATTCGAGTTGCCATCTGAGCTGCCAAGCTGTGGGAGGGCAGGGACCATCTCCCCCAAGCTTGGCACACAGTAGGCACTCCCAAACACCGCTGAGTATCAGTCAATCATATCGCCCCTTACTTCCTTCCTCTTCTCTGGTACCCCCAAGAGGCATGAAAACAACAGCCCAAGGATGTCTTCCCTGCACTTGGCGATAAACGAGGTTCTGCTCCATCCGATGGGGTCCTAGGCCTATGGGACAAAGAGAATCCTTGGATCTGTGCTCCAGACCAGGAACCCAGAGACATCCTAGCTAGGAAACTGTTTCCCAGAGAGGCTATACTGGAGTCTCAGAAACGTTTGTGGGGCCCAGGAGCCCCCTGCCCCTCCTCCAGGCAGAAGGGACCATCTACAAGCTTGAGCTGCCCAGACAGCCTTCCAGACAGTGTGGAAGGTTCATTAGCTGCAGAATCCCACAACTAGACAGTATCTTTGGGAGGCAATCCCCATCACCCCAGTTGGCCCAATTAGCCTCCCACAAAGTCCCAACCAGGAGAAGTCATGCACCTGCAGGCTATTTAGTGTAATGGAGAAAAGCAGCCTGCACAGTCCTGCCACCTCCCACGTGTATGACCTGGAGCAAGAGACTTGCATCACCTCAGTTTCTTCACGTGTAAATGGGAACAAGGCAACGAGGTTGTTGTGAGGCTTAAAGAATTCAAACTTAAATCGCTTGAGAGCAGCAGAGGGCAAAACGGAACATACCAATCATCATTTTTACTCCCTAGATATTCCCTAAGAATCTTCTAGTGCCAGGCCCTGTGCTTTCTAGACTATAGAGCCAGCAATAAAATCTTAAGTCCCTGTTTGGCCCTCTCTGATGGGTACCACCATCTGGTAGAAAAGACAAACTCAGAGAAAGAGAAACAAGAAACAGACAAAGATCAGAGAAGGCAGTCGGGGGAGCCGGCAGCGCCGTGGATTGAGGGAAGACTTCCTCTGGAAGCTTCTCAGAGCAGGGAAGGAGGCTCCTGGCTTGGAAAAGGTGGAGGGAGAGAAGGAACTGCCCAGTGGGGAGAGGTACAAACCAGAGGGCAGGATGGGGCCAATCGAGGCGGCCTCGCCCTCACCCTGTAGCCTCTCATCCAAACTGGAGGCTGCAAAGGGCAGGAGGGGTGTTGGCAAGACTGCCAAGGGCAGGTGCTGACCTGCCACCCGCCTCCAGCCCTGCACTAGCCCTAGTGGGACAAGGGAGAGAGGCTCAGGCCCCAGGATGGAGACAGGCAGGGAGTGAGCCCGGCCCTGAAGTTCCTCAACCTAACTGGCCATCCACTCCCCAGCTTCCTAATTCCCCTTGCTGATTCCATTTAACCAGACCTTCCAATTATCCATCTTTCTGAGTTGGGTAGCAAGCCTCCGCAAAAATCTCCATTTCTGCAGACACTGAGTGCCCAGTATCCCCAGAGGACCCCCTGCGCCTCCCTGAGATGTGTGTGTGTGTGTGTGTGTGTGTGTGTGTGTCAGTTGGGGGAAGGGGGAATCCTACAGTTTTCACAAGTCAAGTTTGGTTTTGTTAAATCGGAAAGTCCCAACAAGGGGCCATGATGGAGGGTCTGTCACAGAAGTTTTGGAGTGGAAAAGCCTTCAGAGACAATGGCTCCAAGCTCTCCATTTTACACATGAGAAAATTAAGACCCAGAAACGAAAGTGAACCATCCAAGGTCAAGGAGCCTGGTTGGGGGATGGTGCCACAAGGGAACCGAGCTCATTCGGGCAGGGGATGTTCGGCCACCTCTGGCCTTGGCCTGGGGCAGCTGTCTTGATCCAGGGTCTGCTGCCCCTGGGCCTCCCTCCACCCCCGAAATCAGACCCCCTCCCCACCGGGAGGAGCCGCCCGCCGTGCTCGCCTCCGGGCCCAGAGGGAAGCCGGTTCGCGTCGGAGCCGAGCTGGGAGCTACCTTTCATCAGCCGGGCTCCCTCCCGGGACGCGGGGAAGCGCCTCCGCGCTCGCCGACCATGTGCGTTTCTTCTGGGGCTCTCGGGGAGGTGCGGTGGGGGGACCAGATCCCGGTCCGCGATGAGTTCCCGCCCAGCTCTGAGCCTCGGTCCCCGGATCCTGAGAGCAGCGGCTTGCCTCTGAGGTCCAGCCCGCGTCTGACAACAATCATGGGACCTGGTGGATGAAGCAATACTGGGGACCAGAAATTCCTCAGGGACTTGCTTTTTAGTGAAAAATTACATGTGCATTGTGTTAAGAGCATCGGTTTGGGGATCAGACTCCCTGAGCTCTCAGCCAAGTGTCTCCGATTTTTAGATCATCTTGAGTAGTTTCCCTCTCTGTGACTTAGTTTTCTGTTAAAAGCAGATTATCCCGTTTCATGGGATTGTGTGAAGCTTTAAGGAGATAATCTGTGTGAAATGTACATAACTGCAGGACACAGGATGGTGGCCACCACCCCCACCTCCATCACCCGGGCTTTCAGGGGGTCTGCAGTGAAAAGTGCCTCCTTCCCTGAGGTTTCTGTGGACAGCTTATGGACGGATGAGGTACACTGTGCATTTATACAAAAGGGAATTTGTTTTATTCTTGCTTTTTCTTTCAGCCACGTTCCTTGGCATTCACCTCATTCCAGAACACTCCACTCTGTCTGGTTTCTTTTCAGGCAAAGTAAACATCTTGGATCTTGTATGTCTTGCTCAGTGGTCCCCAGAACAATGCGTGCCGCTCAGCACACACAAAGAGGGTACATAAGACACTTCGATATTTTGTAGGTTGTGTGAGTCACTCAGTCGGACTCTTTGTGACCCCATATACTGTAGCCCACCAGGTCCTCTGTCCCTGTAATTCTCCAGACAAGAATACTGGAGTCGGTTGCCATTTCTTTCTCCAGAGAATCTTCCAGACCCAGGGATTGAACCAGCGTCTCCTGTGCTGCAAGTGGTCTCCTGCGTTGCAGGCAGATTCTCTACCAGCTGAGCCACCAGTTCAGTTCAGCCACTCAGTCGTGTCCGACTCTTTCGGCCCCGTGAACTGCAGCACGCCAGGCCTCCCTGTCCATCACCAACTCCAGGAGTCCACCCAAACCCACTTCCATTGAGTCAGTGATGCCATCTCATCCTCTGTCGTCCCCTTCTCCTCCTGCCCTCAATCTTTCCCAGCATCAGGGTCTCTTCAAATGAGTCAGCTCTGCACATGAGGTGGCCAAAGTATTGGAGTTTCAGCTTCAAAATCAGTCCTTCCAATGAACACCCAGGACTGATCTCCTTTAGGATGGACTCTGTCCAGTTTGTTTTTAAGGGGGTACATAAGACACTTCCATATTTTGTAAGTGTGTGTGAGCTGAGCCAGCGGGGAAGCCCTATTTTGTAGGAACAGAGCTATTTTTCCCTTGCCCCTCCCAGCAGTGGGCATGTAGGGGGTTCCCGCTCTTCCTCACAGCCTTCCTCACGTGGTCATAGCCACCATGCTGTGTACATGCCACAGCCTGCATATCTACAGGTGGACTTGCTGAGTCAGAAAACAGGTGCAGTTTTAATTTCAACAGAAACTGCCAAATTGCTAGGGGCCTCTCAGATCACAGGACCTACTTGGCTTTGGGCTCTGCCAGAGGCAAAGGTGTGCCTAAGGACATGAGCAGTGACTGAGGAATAAAGCAGCGGATGCTGCCCTCATTCACCAGGCAGGTGAGGATCCAGGAAGTAGGCTACTGAAAATGAAGTTCGTTCATTTATTCATCAACAGATAGAGATCAGGTGTGTGCAGAGTAGCACGCATGGTTCTGGGCACCACTGAGCCAGACATATAAGATCCAAGATGTTTACTTTGCCACATTCTTTAAGCACAATGTAGGGGCATGAGAGCAAGCGTCAGGGAATGCTGGAGCTTTCCTACCTGCTGGTAGTATATTGAAAGGGAACCTTGGGCCCGTGTGTGGCCTGGTCACTATCTAACTAACTCCTGCCTCTCAGCAAGGCCTGCCTTCATGAAGCCAGATACTGTCCTCCTGCCCTTTCTCCCGGGCTCCCTTCACTCTGCATTCTCGCTGCTTCTTGTTCCAGCTTGAACTTTTATGTTGACACATCATCTCCTTTGCTAGGGAGACACAGAAGACGTGGCCCTTTGGAACTGCCTGACTAGGCTCCACCACTCAGTGGCGTGTGAA